AGTTAGAGTGGTAAAATCACTCCTACTGTCCATAAAACAAGTTTAAAAATAAATTCTACTCACATTATTCCGTGGAGAAACAAACTCGAAACAAAACCACTTCACTGAACCTTCACTTTTAAGTTACACTTAAGTTTTCAAGTTTCACTCGAGTTTATTGTTTCACTTTTAAAATTCACTTTTCGGACGCGAGTCGTAATCGTAACGGCCCGTAGCGCTACGTCGTGCTACGGCCGTAGGGGGTCTACGACTGTGCGTAGCGGCGCTGTGACGCCCTCTAGCGGACCTGCTTACGAATGTCGTATGTTGCCAGATGAACGGAATCTGGGAAATTATGCAGTAACTCAAGGAATTCATTCACTCAGGCAACTTCGTACTATGTGGTGCAAACTTTGAATGTCTAGTTGAGAAATTAAAGCCGCTTCTTTGAACTGAGAACTTAATATATCAGACATAAGATTGTTACGTGTGATTATGGTTCAAGTTCCCGTGTAATAAAAGATTTACGTCTTTTTTCAATGTTTAACTAATAAATAAATTTCGCTTAAATATATTGCAAATTTTGAATTAATAAATTGTTAGAGATAGGAAATCTTAGGTTTTGTTTTTTAGATATCCTAAACTGGAAATAGAAAGCCCTGAGTTAAATAATTAAATAAAAGACTGTTAGAGGGTAGGGCCCATTACTTATAGTGATGTAATTGATAAGAATTAAAAACCGATTGTAGAATGAAGAAATTCACGACACGAGCGGGACTTAAACCTGCTTCAACGGCGTTCCGTACGGTTGCTCTTACCAATTGAGCTACCGTGTCATGATGGAAATTTCATAAATAATTGTATTATATTACAATTATTTTTCATTAATAGGCTTGTATCTTTTAAAAAAATTTATACGTCGAATAAAAATACCTTACAAAGTTTATTTTCAACAAACCGCTATATGATTTATTGTAACTCCTAAAGTATTTAGGGAAAATACACAGACTACCTGGCAACACGAAAACAATGCGCAATCTTCTTTAAAGTTATTTAGGGACAATTGCCCAAATAAAGGGCAACCGTAAACTTCTGCCTTAAGGTTTATGAGGGGTCCTAAGGTAAAAAGTAAATCCCGCAAAATTTATTGTAGCGAAGTTTTTTGCGACTTGTCTTGAATTCTTGGGAGTAAAACCTTGTAAGTATCTAACTGTGGATATTCAGCATAGATTTCGTGAGTATATATTATGTAGGTCACAAATATAAAATGTGACAACGAAACGAAGGATTATTTGAGCTGTTATTTACCCGGAAAGAAAAGAATAAGCTATCCACTGTACCGTTACGGATGGGTAAAAAAAGATCGTAAAAAAGGCACGTAAGAGCTCTTAAACCACTCGATAAGGATTCAATGAATTATATTATAATATTGTTTTTATTTATAGACATCACTTAGCTTTCTCTAATAAAACAGTTTTTATACTTTACTTTTCAATATATACAAATATATAAAGCTGAATTGTTTGTTTGTTTATTTGAGCGCGCTAATCACGAAAACCTTTTTGTGTTGGTTAGAAACTTTTATCGCAAAAGGCTATAGGCTCCGATGCGTATGCTGCAAAAATGATTCAAGATACCCAAAAATATGTATGATAAAATGATTTGTCTTTAAATTATCTAAAAAAATGTCCACGGCAGTAAATATCTATGTTTAAAGATTAACCTTTAATAACGACGGGACGCGGAGGACGTCTTGGGTAACAGCATCATTTTTTAGAGCTTAGCAGGAGGTTTGCAAAAACAAATTAATTGTCTAAAATTACTCGTTGTTGCTAGCAAATCTAGTTTTTTTATAATATACATATTACCTCATACATTTTACAAATTATTGGTTTCATATTTCTTAGTATCAAGTTTATAAAAAGAAGCTATATTTTTAAGTTTTTATCGAGCATAAAACGATATCCAATTTCGTTAAGGCGGGGCTAATGACCGATAAATAACCTAAGCGTTACCTAAATTTCGCGCCAGAGAGATTTCTATTTTCAAGAAGGTAATAAAGATGACATGATACATAATAAAAAAATAGATTATAATTTATTTTTATTCTGTCTTAAATATTGTCCTAGCAACCATAGACAAAAGGGCTCTACAGATGTGTAAAATGGCTTTACCCTACGGGAAGGTTAGGACAGATATACTTCTCTTTCTTAAATTAAATAGTTTAAGAAACATATGTGTTCTTCACGACCGAATTTATTTACTAGACGAAACCAGGATACGTTATTATTTTTTATTATACTTCAAAGATGGTCAGTTTTACTTATCATGTAAGAAAAACTGAAATCTATATATATTAAACTTGATTCACTTATCTTTCAAGCACAGACTATATTGGTCTTATCTACTATATGATGCCTTATACTCTGTTATGAGGTCTTTTGACGGCGATTCCGTCATACGTGACGTCAAAACAGAATCTTCCTTGATCAAACTTGAAGACTCACCCTCGCGTTATTTCTGTGGATAATGGACATATTGTGACAGTAATATTATTTTAAGAACATTTATAGATCAGTAAAAGTTTTGAAGAAAAAAAACAAAAAAAAAAAAAAAAAAGGGGGGTTTTTTTTTTTTTTTTTTTTAACCCTACTAATAGTTGAAAATTCATTTTGGTAAAGGGGGGGGGGGGGGGGGGGGGGGGGGGGGGGGGGGGGGGGGAAAAAAAAAAAAAAAAAAAAAACCACCCCCCCACCCAATTTGTATGTTCATCATTTATTTATTATTGTACTCCATGTACATCTACTAGCCTATTAACATATATACACTAACATAGCACACGGAGACACTTTACAAAAATGAGAAATATAATTCAAGATCTATATTGCTAAACAAGTGCTCGTATCGCCTAACAATACCTACCCAAACAATTTACAAGTGAAGACGGCGAGAGAAGAACATAAAACTCGTAAAGCGTCGTTGTGGGATTTGCCGATATACCTGGAATATTTCGACGTTTGATACTTTTTATTGAGTATTATTGGGGAGACTTTTACGTCTTTTCGAAGCGAAGATCGGCTGATAGTCGCCGTATCTTTAGCGTTTAAACGAATGTTTCGTGATTATTGCCGTAGATAACTTTCTAAATTTCCAAGATACGTTCAAGAAAAAAAAAAGCTAATAATTTTATTATTGCTTCATTATTTATAAAAAACAACACAGAAAAAACATATTAATGAGGAAAAACCTTAAATCCTAACTTATTAATAAAAGGCGGCCTCATCGCTAAGTAGCGATCTCTTCCAGGCAACCTGAATACCTACTTTCATTGCCCATTTCACTTTAACGAAGATATATTGATCACGTATAGACTATATACTATATGAAATAAATTAACGAATATACTTCGAGTTTTTACAACTTCAAACCTTTTCAAGTGCCATTGAACTATTAACTGACATCAAATAAAATTATATTTTTAATGATATTGATTAAAAGAGTTATCAATATTTCTAATGAATCTTGTAATATTACGCACTTATGGACACACTAAACACCTACACGTATTTACTTTACTATGTCGTGCTTGAGACAGGTACTTAACAGCTGTGTTTCAGGTATCTTGAGTTATTACAACTAATTGGTGACATTATCATCAATTAATTGTAGCTCCACTCTCGTCGTCATTACTATTCATAGCCGTGATATATGGATATAGGTACCGAAAACAGCAGGCCGATTCTACTCATTCAATGACGTTTCGATCAAGTTGCTGTGACGCTGCGATCAAGTTTCGATTAAGCGTCGAACGGTATTATCCTAATTTTAAAACTTCGCGTCAACTGCGTGTAAACTGTGCGTCTCTCGTACGTCAGGGAAACAATGAGGGGTGTGACCACATAGGAAAAATGTATTATCTCATTCAAATTATGCATAAAATTCGGCCAAATTCGATTACCATATAAACGGTTCTTGCGATAATTTTAAGTGGAATCGTCCTTTCAGAGATGAACGATGTTCGCAATGCACGCGGTTAAGGCCCTCAAAGATGAACAATTTTCTACATTTTCCACCGTTTCTTCGCTTCTATTGGCCCAGCGTAATAATATTTAGCCCTTCTTGATAAATGGTGTATCGAACACAAAAATTAATTTTCAGAATTTTTGAGATTAGCGCCTTTAAACAAACAAACACTTTACCTTTATAATATAGTGCCGCTTACAATCAAATCTAAAAAGAATTTGCTCCATAATACAAATTTCTTTATAGCGAAAGACACACAGACAGAATAATGTTGATTATGTTGAATGCGCAATTCATAATTATCTGGGGTGATCAATTAAACTACTACTGTCTACATCAAGGGCTAGGCCCGTGGCAAATTCATCGAATGGGCCCTCCCACTTCCACAATATATAAAAAGGCTGAATCAACAACAATAGTATTTTTTATTTTATAATATTTATTTATACACTTTTGTTTGTAAGAGTTAACTAATAAATCACTACGTGAAGTAGGTATATACAAACTGTATAATTATAATTTCTTGATTTTCTAATTATTCACTTTTAATTAAAGGTACCTGTAATTGAGATTTCCTCTGACTGGGGGCCCCTTCGGGCTGGAGGTCCGTGGCATTTTGCCGACTTGCCACCTTATAGTTACGCCACTGGAGTTCAACACGTATGTAGTTGTCCATCTTTGTTTGTCTTTGCAAAATATAATGTAGAAATTTCAATAAAACACTACCGGTAAACTCGATATAATATTATATTAGTAAAACTTATTTGCAAATTATTTGAACTACAGACAGTATAATGTAGAAGTTGCGACAGACTACCATTTCCAATATAGGAACAATCTGACACCGACTGTCAAATTCAACATAAATCGAATTGTCAATGAAATGTTTTGTGATTTGTCAAAATAATAGCTTCGAGTACGGAATCTAGATATCGTTATATTTTCATTTCGCTGTAATTTTATAGTATTAATTGAATTAAAGTTTAAAATGTCGGAAAATGGGCTCGATGATGCGTAAAAAAACCCAAGTGTCATTCGTTATTCGAGACGAGGAGGAGAAAAGGCATAAAAACGGCGTAAGCTCATTGCAATTGGATCCTGTACAGGGTAGGCTTTATTCCGCCGGTCGCGATGGCATTATTCGAGTCTGGCAGACGAGCGGCGGCTCACAGGACAGATACATTCAGAGCATGGAACACCACACGGACTGGGTCAACGATATCGTTCTCTGCTGCGGTGGAAAAAACCTGATTAGTGCCTCTTCAGACACGACAGTTAAAGTATGGAATGCCCCAAAGGGCTTTTGCATGTCAACATTGCGAACCCATAAGGACTACGTTCGAACTTTAGCATATGCAAAGGATAAAGAACAAGTCGCTAGTGCTGGTTTAGACCGTGCTATTTTCTTATGGGATGTTAACACCTTAACTGCACTCACAGCTAGTAATAACACAGTAACAACATCCAGCCTTGTCGGTAACAAGGAGTCTATATACAGTCTTGCTATGAACCCACCTGGAACTATACTTGTCAGCGGTTCAACAGAGAAAGTATTAAGAGTCTGGGACCCACGTAATTGTTCCAGATTAATGAAATTAAAGGGACACGCAGATAACGTCAAGGCATTAGTTGTGAGCAGAGATGGGACACAATGTGTCTCAGGAAGCTCTGATGGCACTATCAAACTCTGGTCACTATCTCAACAGAGGTGCGTTTCTACTATCCGTGTACATTCTGAGGCAGTTTGGGCTCTTTTAGCTACTGAAACATTTAGTCATATCATATCAGGTGGCAGAGACCGTCTAGTCATTATAACTGAATTGAGAAACCCCGATAATTTTATGATTGTATGTGAAGAAACTGCTCCTATACTCAAACTATGTTTCACTGCTGATCAGCAAGGTGTATGGGTGTCAACATCGGATTCAGATATACGGTGTTGGAAGTTGCCTCCTGTAAACACTCTAAACTCGGAAATGTATAATCAGAATAATTATAACACAAACAATGTGTATCAAACTCAGCCCTTGCACCATATCCCAGGAGGACGGGCTATTAAGAATTATACTGTATTAAATGATAAGCGTCACATAATCACAAAAGACACTGCCAATAATGTTGTACTCTATGATGTTTTAAAAGCAAGTAAAATTGAAGATTTGGGAGAAATAGACTATGATGAAGAAGTTAAAAAGCATTTTAAAATGGTCTATGTCCCGAACTGGTTTAATGTTGACCTTAAGACTGGAATGTTAACAATACATTTAGGGCAAGATGAAACTGATTGCTTTAGCGCATGGGTTAGTGCAAAGGAAGCGGGTTTGACAACAGAGAATGATCAAAAAGTAAATTTTGGAGCACTGCTATTACAAGCTCTGTTGGAATACTGGAATCATCCAAACAGAGTAAATGAAGGCGGGCAAAAAGTTTTTGGAAATAATTTCTTTTCTGTACCACTGCATACACCACTTATTTTTAGTGAGGTTGGAGGGAGGACACTGTATAGGCTGCAGGTAAGGTGCAAACCTTCAATGTATTAATCAAATATATAAAGCTGAAGAGTTTGTTAATTTGTTTGTTTGAACGCGCTAATCTCAGGAACTATGGGTTCGAATTAAAAGAACGTTTTTGTGTTGGTTAGAGCCTTTATCGAGGAAGACTATAGGCTATAAAACATCGCCCTGTGACTAATACCAGCAAATACAGTGAGAAATATGAAAAGAAATGCAATAAATATGTTTAAAAGAATGATTTCTCTTTAAATGATCTTAAAAAAAGTCTTCGACGCTATATGACTATATTTTAAGATTAACTTGCAAGATATGTTAATGGCTATTAATATGCTGCATGACATTGTATTATGTTGAAACCATTACAACAAAAACATACTTTTTAAAACAAACATAAACATGTCCAATTCAATATACCAGTTTTTTTTTCTTCTCCAGGTCGGTGATGCCGGAGGTGAAACTGAAGGTAATATTTTATTAGAAACTGTGCCATCATGGGTTGTGGATGTTGCAGTTGAGATGGCTGCTCCGAAACTTAATAAACTGCCCTTCTATCTACTGCCACATTCCAGTTGCCAAAGCAAACAAGATCGACAGAAAAAGGTAACTTTATTTTTACCTTTTCCATAAAAGTCATTTATAATTATATTATCGTATATAAAACATGCTTTAATGAACTGTGGAGATCTACAATATTTTTTTTATATTTATATATATATTTCATTCTTTAATGTCCATTGTCATATGTTGACAATTCTAAAGCAATAACTCTTTTTACAGGATCGTCTTGTTGCTAATGACTTTATTCAGTGTCGCAAAGTAGCTGAACATGTTGTCGAGAAAATTATAGGTGGTGGTGATGTCAACGGATCCAGCACAACGAAAACTGAGGACAGCAACACTGACGCGCCTGAAGAGAAAGTGGAATTACTATGCTGTGACCAGGCAAGTAGCACTTTAAATAATAATTTATAGTGTTGTGCCTTCAAAATGCAATATTATTCCTTCTTTTTCTTTCTATTGTATCACAGCATTTTTTTGTTTAATTTAAATCCATAATTTTTCCTAATAAAATATTCTTTATTTGTATAATTACTCAAGTTCACTATTTATCTTTTATATCTTTCAGGTTCTAGATCCCAACATGGACCTGCGTACTGTCAGACACTTCATCTGGAAGTCCAATGTAGAGTTTACATTACACTATCGAATAATAAAACAATGAAATTCAACCTTCTTCGTCAAGAGACATTATAAGACGTGTTGTTCGATGTATAGTCTTTTTCAGTGATATTGTACATATTATTTGGCTAACTATTTACCTCGATATATAAGCTGTCTGAAACGTGAATAAGAGTGGAAAAGGCATCAAGTTATTTGGTGATTTTATTCATCTTATGTTTTATCATTATGACTCAATTATTGTCTATTGTAATATTGTTAGTGTATTTTAAATCGTTTTTGACTTGACTTGACTATATTGTGCTCTCAGTAAAAGCTCGTCATAAGAAATATTACAACAAATAATTGCGGAATAATTGTTGTATCTATATAATTATTTCTTTATGTTATTTGTAATATAGTATGCATATCGCCAGTTATTTTAACATACTTTATAAGTTACGGCGTAATAGTACGTAATACGATATAGAAAAGGTTGTTTATGTAAAAGCTGCGGAAATAGCGTGAGAATCTTGCCTTACATTGCATGTATTCAAAATGTGACTGATCATTGTGTATTACAAAAGCCTAATTGCCTATACTATTTTTTAAAGTAACTGAAATTTTATTATAATCAAATAATAGACCACTTTTTGTAATTGTAATACATTCTACAAACTCACTCAGTTAGTTTTTAGTGGCAGGGCCACCTACTTAAGATTGTTTTTTGCTTACATATGTTATTTGAGTTTTAAAAGGTTTAAAATATAGAAGCATTTACCGTTCGCAAACCTTGACATATACTTATCAATGTGTCGTGGCCAATCAAGCCGATAATTAAAATGCATGCCATAATTTGTATTTAAGTTTTATCATACATTTAATGCTTATTATAAAACCATGCAAGAATGATGGTATTGTTAAAACAGCTCGGCTAGGTTGTCCTTATTTTGTACTGAGCTTTTTTGATTGCATCCCTATAATAGTGTTTTACTATCACTTTATAATTTATTATACCTAAATAAAAGTATTGAATTAAACGTTGGTATTTTTTGTCTTTTAATATGGCATGGTAATAGCTACTCCAAGGAATGTACCCAAAAATAACATTAAGTAAGAAGAAATGTAACACTTTAACGGTTTAAAACGCTATATATTATTTAAAAATCGAAAATAAATTGAATGAGGTGCATGTATCAATAAGTTGAAAAAATTCTACGATAAGGTGTAAGACTCGGTAGCTCAATTGGTAGAGTAACAGCACGGAACGCTGACGATGCCGGTTCAAGTCCTGCCCGAATCGAAAAATTTTTTCGATTTTAAAATTATATAGTGCCTTCATGTGCATGTAAAAAATAATAAAGTTTTCAAACGCTATAATTATATTAGTTAAACTTATTTGAAAATTATCATGGTCACGGGGAGACCACGTCTGCTGCTGCAAAGCATCCGAAACGTCGGGCCGAAGTTAAAAATGATTTTCAAATAAGTTTAACTAATATATCGCGTTTTTAACCGTTAAAGTGTTACATTAAAAAAATGTCTTGAAAGAATTTCCTTTTCAATCGTCTATGCTCCGGCCTTAAAAAATATTGATAGTGTAGTGCCGTCAAATTGACAATTGACTTATTATCAATTTTGTAATTTGTTATTAAAAGTATTATCTAACCTTAAAGTAAAATGAAATATTTTATTGTATAAAAAGATGAATGGCAGATATCTAATTAGTTCTTTAATATGTAGTGTTTCAAGGAAACTGGTTTCAAAACCCACTCGGATAACATGTCATAGACTTTTAGTAAATGTAATCAATGTAAACATTCGAGATTACTCCACTCAAAAAAATCTTGTTGTTGAAGAGAAGAAACACTGTAATGTAGGCACTATTGGACATGTTGATCATGGAAAAACAACGCTAACTGCCGCTATAACGAAAGTACTTTCTAAGGAAGGCACTACCAAGTACATACCTTACGATAAAATTGATAAGGCACCTGAAGAAAAAGCTAGAGGTAAAGTTTTAATTTAAATACACAATAGTAGGTTTTAAGCTCTTTATTTCGTAGATACCATACAAGAAGTAAACTTATTAATGCTAAAAATACTAAGAAGATACATCTCAAGAAATATATGAAGTACTACGAAGCTGCAGCAGTTTTCCGCATTTAGTTTTCACTTTGTAAGTACTTACATAAACATTTACCAGTAAATCAATCATTCCAGGCATAACAATAAATGCAGCTCATGTGGGATATAGCACTAAGAATCGTCATTATGCTCACACAGACTGTCCTGGCCATGCTGACTACATCCGTAATATGATTTCAGGTTGGTTAATGTTTTTTTCTTTTCCTATTTCTCCCAGGGGACAGACACAACATAGAAATGCCCCAGGCAACCATGCTATTTTATCATGTTTCCCTGATAACTTCATTCAAGTTAATGTTTTAGTATAGTATGCTTCATGCAATGCAATAACATAAAAATAATAACAAAATAACTCATTAAGAATTTAAAAAAAATCTTTAAATGTGGAAAAACAATGAAATTTTTGTTTGTAATTATGATGTTTGGGTTTCTAGGTACTTCACAAATGGATGCCGCTATTCTAGTTGTCGCTGCAACTGATGGTCCAATGCCACAAACAAGAGAACACTTATTGCTTGCTAAACAAGTTGGTGTGCAATACATCTTAGTATTTATTAATAAAGTCGATTTGGTTGATGAAGAAGTAAGTTCTAAACAATTATGTAACAAAAACATTTTTTAGGCCCAATATAATATTTCAGAGTATATGGTTTTTCAAATGATACATGTACTCTATTTAAAATCAGTGGAGTTACAACTAGGCCTTTATCAAGTTTCAACAATTACCAAATATAAGATCTAACTTTTTTATGCCTTGGATAAGAAGGAACACCCAACTTTAATATTATTTCAGGTTCTGGATTTAGTAGAAATCGAAATGAGAGACATGCTTACAGACTTTGGTTATGATGGAAATAATATACCTATAATAAAAGGGTCCGCTTTAAAGGCACTTAATGATGATCCGTCAGATATTGGTAAGTTTGTTTTTTTTTAACTTATTTTGCTAAGAGTTCTAACAATTTTGTAATTTTTTATTTTAATGGTCAAATTATTTATTATTTTAAGGACACTGTGTATTGAATCAACTTCAAAACACGTTTAATATCAATTATTGTTAAAAATATAAATAAAACATTGTTTATTTTAAAATGTCTTTGTGTCTTATTCAAATTGTGATTTTATGCAGTTTAATTTATTGTATTTATTATCCTTTGCTTAAGGGAATTAATTGTTTAATTAGATAACATTATATTTTAGGTGTACCTTCAATAAACCATCTTCTAGACTCCTTAGATAATCATGTACCAACAATAGTCAGAGATCTAGAATCCCCTTTCTTGATGCCCATAGACAAGGCATTTACAGTCCCTGGTAGGGGTACAGTTGTCGTTGGGACTATAAAAAGAGGTGTCATGAAGAAAAATGATGAAGCACATTTGATGGGCTTTGGTATAAAAGTGAAAACAACACTATCAGATATGCAGATATTTAGGAGTTCAGTTTTAGAGGTACAACAAATATTTGTAACTAATATTATTTGCATGCTTAATCTTATTGTTTTGTTATTACATACATCTTAAAATAAAATTTAGATCTCTTAGAAAAATCATCATCTCCATACAATTACTACACTAAATATACACTTTATGGTACTATAATTTTTTAAATCTTGTAACACCAAGTTTACTGAGTCATGGTTGAGTACTATGGCTAGCCCCTGATATTAAGATAGGTTGTTTAAAATTCATTCATTTTTCAGGCAATAGCTGGCGATAATGTAGGAGTATTACTAAGATCAATAAAACTACGTTCGGTTGAGAGTGGTATGCTGCTCTGCGCAGCTGGAAGCGAAGAGATGAGCAACCATTTCAAAGCTAAGATATACTTTTTGGCTCGCAGCGAAGGCGGGAGAAAGAAACCAGTTTTCTCCAAGTACTCTCAGCAAATGTTCAGTGGAACATGGAATATCGCTTGCAGGATAGATTTGGGTGGGTTCTTTAGCTTTAGTATCTATATAAGTTTTAATTTCACCTGTTTATATTGTAATAATGGTTACCTTAAGTATATTTCTAATGGGAATAATTTACTTTTAAGCACATTACAGGTCTATTTCAAATCCTTATATGCCTTCTGTTGATTTAATGTCAGATGTTTAATTAGAGATAATAGTATTTTTTTTGACTTTGTGAGTTATATTTCAACATTCAGGCCGATTTTTGTAGTAATAGTATATTATATATCTAGAATATTTCTGTACTTATTGCAAGAAGTGCTTATATTTGTAATTGTAATTATTATAATTGTTATTGACATTTGGTCATATTAAAATTGAATAAAGACCATTAGAATTACACTTACATAAGGTGATTTATATAAGCATACTAACTTTGATCTCCGATTTCTCGCAGAACCAACAATAGAGATGTTAATGCCTGGTGACCACGCTGAAGTATACCTAACTTTGCTAGAAGGCATGGTCATGACCACAGGTCAGCCTTTTACAATCAGAGAGAACAATGTCACTGTGGCTACAGGAATTGTCACCGAGACATTAAAAACTATAGATGTACCAAATGGTAAACTAGGCAGAGTGGAGTTAAACCTTTCTAAGGAGTGAAAGGATCGAGAAAATATTTATTGGATGAACTTGCATATGCTTTAGACCGCGTGAGATGACAATATCATTAACAACTATTGTGAATATACCAATATATTGTAAATATAGTTTAGATATTTATGTACTTGTATTTAATACTCCCTACAAAGTTTAACGGAGCATATATTATTTCAATCAACTGCTTTACCCTTGTCGGATTCCCTAGAACCGTTTTACCTAACAAACAAAGGCATAAATAAAACGCATAAATTTCTTTGTTATATATTTTCTGTCAGAAGGTAATTAATATCGTGCCAAAACAGTAACAAATTATTAGTAAGAAAACCATGACTGCAACTAGCATTAACTACTGAATATTCAGATAATCAATATCTATCACTGCTCAATGAGGACACAACACTTTTCGACGACACTGGCGTAAACACTAATTAAATCGTGAACTATAACACCGATACGCCTAAATATTGTATTTACTACGACACGAGGGTAGTTGTAGATCATCGAAATTACTATTGAAAAGATAACGATGCAAATTATCTAATGTAATATATATAATTTTTTAATCGCCAAATTGCAGTAAATCTAATTTTGATGCTCCAAATAAACAAGTGACTTTTTAAATTTTAAGTGAAAATTTGCATATGTAGTTTGTAACTGAAAACCAATTAGTTAAAAAATCACAACTACCCTCACTATAATACTGCGAAATAGCAGAGCCTACCATTGTCCTGAACACAATCCCTTTTATACCTGCACTAAATCAGTCTGTCACTCGTCTACGCCGTATCTAAAATTTCTTTAAACCACAATTTTGAATCCTTAAAATGTTTAATTCGCAATTTCAACAAAAAGAACGTCGGCCAATTAAACGTCTAAGCGATAACGTCACAAGCTATATTTAACACTGATACTTTTGAGACTATTTTAAGATTCACATGTAGGAGTTAAAACTATGAGCGATTAATGGGAATTCAACATTTATCGAAATCAATATTGTGGAGTGAAAGTCTAAAATTACAAAGATATTTTTGTATACACCGATCTAACATGTAGAGTTCAAAATATTATTATTAAACGTTTAAAATGCTAGATACTGCCAGCAAGTGAAGTGAGCTACACTTATACCTTGGTCCATGCGACAGATAACTTGGCATCTTATGAAAATTGATTTTTCCAAAATTATAAAAAATACGACGGCAAGCTCGTTGAAGCGAGTGAAATTCTTCTACTTCTGTTGTATCACACATACAACAGAAGTTAGACTGTTATAGGATCTCAAACATTACGTTGAACAGTCAGCGTTGAGTTTTAGAAAGAGATATGTCAAACGACATTGCCGTCATATTACACTTTTCGCACTTATTAGCATTGCAAGTCTGTACTCTGGTAGCGAAAACCGTGTTATTCTTTATTTCGACATAACACGGTTAGCGCTACCTCTATTTCAGAAGTACACATTTACCAAGTTACGCAAGCATAAAAAAAAATAAATGAATGGTATATCAAGTTAAAATGTTGCAACGTGAAACTAATGTTATAAAGGCTTCTGTTACAATCAAGCTTTTTATATTAGTTTAAGTGAATTACCAGACTTGCAATGCCAAAATACATCAACCATTACAACTAAGCAATCCCAGGTGGATTGAGTTATAATAAGCTCATAAAATTCGATATTCACCACAGACAGTATATATTTTGTAACTTTTATCTCTAAAAACATCTAAATTTTCAAACGGACAGATCCAAACATTTTGAGGACTAGCGAACTTCACACCTAACGTTGTACGTACGCGGTATTACGGTTACTGTACACGTGATATTATTTGGGATACGACGGGACATAACAATTTGATATTTGTTACACGTCGTCCCGTACGGCATACTAAATTAGCACGTGTACGGTCACCATATAAGAAGCGAAAACAACAAGTAACAAGAAATCTAAAAACAGTTTAAAACAAAATAAAGTTATAATGGGCATTTGAAAACTGGCAGTGTGACTGAGGCCGCAAATTAAAAATGACAAAATATTATCGTTTATAAGAGTTATGTTAAAATGACAATAATTATTGCAAGTTGTTGTCATAACTCATTCGCGGCTAACAAAATGCAGTCAACGACGTAGTACATAGCGAATACATAAAACATTTCAGCATTTGATACAGGAACAGTGTTTTGATACATCACTAGCGCATATTGCGCTCGGTTTGAAACCGAACTATTATACAAGGCGCTAATTAGATTTATAATGGCGCCTTGGGTAATAAAGGCATAATAAAATCTTATATATACAAATTGAAAAGAAAACATTTTAAAAAGAATGTCATATTAATTGTACACTGGAAAATGTCACTGTGAACGGTTTAAAGCCGTTCGATTATAAAAAATATTACCCAAGGAATTGTGCTTAGAACATGCTCGATTTACTTACTCGGCGCGCGTCGGATAATAGTTAAATTTCAATTCCAACGATACCGTCAATCTTGAGTATTGTATCACATCGAATTACCTTAAATTATTTAATTTATAAACTTAAACAAATCAGTAACAATCTTATAGAGAATAAATTTGCGAAACATTCGTTAGGGCGCGCCACTTTATTCGGGCCATATGCACGAATCTGGTCATGTCGCGTGCAAAGGGGCCAAACGAAATGGCACATTCGCGGAAACAATCTGTCACATATCACTTAAACTTAAAAATAGAAATACATTTTTGTCGAGAAATGTGGACTTCTAGCACCGCAATTAAAACGATTTATTCGATAGACTTCCGGCTCAGTGTTGCAATGGAGAGAAACGAATTCAGCACTCGACGTGTTATAATACTTGTGCAAACAATGCAACCACTTAGGATATTTCTGTTGGGAGACTGCTCAGACTAACTGTTGGAATGATAACTTGATTAAGTCACGCATAGACGAAAGAGGCAATTCCTGTGGCGAAACTATATCACGTATTACTGACTTTATTAATGAGCGTTGGGAAGTTTTATTTCTAGTTACATATTACTAGGTTTAATGCAGTTTATTTTTTCGTTAAGAAAACTGGAATCTACGTGGATCAAAATGTGTTTAGTTAGCAAACTGCTGAGCACGCTCCTGACACGTTCGTCCAGCGTGCACCAACAGAAATACCTAATTAGCCGTCTTACAGTAGCTACATCATTAAAAAAACTTAATTCATCGCTTACGACTATAAAAATATCTTAGAAATTCTCACTTACATTTAAGAGGAACTGGCAAAATAAATCCTGTATTCATCCATTTACAAACTCAATTCGAATAAAAAATAACCAGATTTTTGGTCCTCACGTATCAAAAATTCATGATGCCATTCCTATAAAATTGGACAGAACCTTACGCAAATCGGCGAGTAGCAAAAATATTAGTTACGACTATATTATTATATGCACGCTAAACAACTGCTGAAAAAATATCAAATCCACTAAATACCCATTAGAAAAAACCTATACTTACCGCAAAACCTCGTAGAAGCAACGTTAAACTTAAACTAAACAAGTAACCGTGGTGGTACAACCGTCGACTGCAAACTTATCACAATGTCACCTCGCGGGGTTCGAGGGCGGGCGGTCGACGCCCGCGCGGAACCCCAGGTCTACTTATTGTCCGCTCGTCTATACCGACTAATCTGCAACTAATAGAAACCTCCGACCCCGTATCAAAACAGATAAACATTAATTAGTAGAGTATTTGTGCACACGATGCGAAAAGTTGGCGCTCGATGGCTACTAAATTGCTCATAAGACATCGAATAACACCTAACCGTCACCTTAACACCGAAACTCACATCGATTATTATGCTACAATTATAAATAATCACATATAAGAGGATTCTTGAACCATGCACGGTTAAACATGAACCTATCAGATTCGTACTATAAGCATCGGATAGTCTCTCTAGAACCACCTAACGGCAAAGGCTAACTACACAACTAGCATCATTTAAAATAGAATAAAAACTGACTACGATACATCTCGCGGGAATTATCTAACGGTGAAACTCGCTACCACATTTAAATTTTTTTTTCGTTATGTCATTATTTTATAATAAATATTTTTCCGTAAATTATTATCAAATTCGATAAAGCTCTAAGATTGTTCCACATTCACATAAATGAGTTCTCAGACGTCATCTGAATTCGAAGCGACGGTAGATATTACATTAGATAACTAAATATTAGGGATATCTTTGTAACGATAACATTTAGATAAATAAAAGCTTCGCTTTGAAGCTTAAGATATATTTTTAAATTATAAGAGAACAATTCCAGTCTTGCTAAGGGTACGTTATTTAAGCGATTTCTAACAAAAATCTAGCAGAGTTCACTAGCAGTGTCACTTATTTTGTACATTCAGGATTTTTGGAGCAAACAACATGAAAAATTGTAAATTTTTCTAGCACATCAACAATATAACACGTCCCATATAAGTGGGGTCCGAATATGCCACCCTGTGGTGGGTACTAAACACTTTTATCTAAATCCATTGAAGAATTAACAATAGGAGACCGTGGTGGAAATTAACTATTTTCTAACATCCAGAGTCATATTACAGTACTCTAAATTTGTATTGAAATATTTGTCGTGTCACGAATCAGTACCATGCTTTGGAAATCTAACACCCAGTATATCATAGCTAACGTTATTTAATTACAAGATGTAAGAAATTTCTCGTACTTCGCTATCGCCTATAGGTATATAACATCGAAATATGTCATTATTACTATTGCTAAACATTTAATAAAGTGATACGTCATCAAAGGCTACCTTCAAATCCGTGATCCGAATAATTTGCAATGGTACCGACTTATATCAACTAATGTGTTTGGCAAAGTTAATCTTTAAACTAATTTAAAATTTTCATTCTGGATACAAGGGAAACGGACAACGGTCTGTGATAGAGGACGAATTTTAACTTTAGAAGTTCATCTTAACACTTTTAATTATACCGCGTAGCGTAGCATTAAATTAAGTACAGAGTAGTTTTGGTTTATTATAATTATTATAGGACTTAAAGGACAATTTTATAATAAGGCTATATCACACGATTCTTACAAGATATGCTGTTATAAGCGTTGGTCAAGTAGAAAGTTCAGATATCATATTAAATTCATTATAGACTCAAATGAAATATTCAAAATATTCTCATCGAAAAGCTAAAGCGTGTTTGGCGGATCCAAATCTTGCGCTATTTGAGAGAATGGATCTATACTTTTATAAAACAATATTTTATCAGGAACAAAACATTTTTTTCAGTAAGAGATATGTTTAGAATGTAATCAGTATATAAAAAGGAGACCTTTTGTAGAAAATTCACCGTGAAATCCATCCAAGTAGCGCGATTGAAAATAAGCAATGGAAGCTTAAATCTATGCAAATTCCAATTCTTTTGGACGGAAGGAACTTTTGAGCCGAAACAAATATGAAATTATTAGGTATTCGACTAACACGGCGCTGACATGTCATAGACATATACTGCTTTGTGCGACGGGTAATCAATTTTAAAAGAGGCTAGTTGTGGTAATGTCTTAAATAACATATTTTCGATTTAAGATAAAAATTAAACTAAGCATGCAACTCATAGCCACCGCGAGTGCGGCATTTAAACTTAAGTAAATAAATTCTGCGAAAACAATAAAAAAAGCAACAACAAGAGCCCCTCGCGTAACGCGAAGGATAGCGATAAATAAATATGGCTATGAGCCTTTATTATATAATTTAAAATTGTCTCAACACTTTTTGAAGCACAAATGGCTGCCAATTAAAATCTATTGCACTAAAAAACTTATAGAGCATATAAATATAAAATTCATTAATTCATTTTAAGTTAATATAACATTAATTTAACTATAAGAGAATCTGTCATTTTGGAGGCAGTTAATTTTTCATGGAATAAGATCAGATATTGATATATCAGTAGTACTTTTCTATACTAATAATAATTTTAAAATGCCCCCAATTAGATTCTCCCGGAAACGCCATTAGAACCGCTTTTTAAAAGAAACTTCTGCGCAAGACACGAAAGCATCAAAATTGAGGTAAATAGTTACTGCGATATGGCAACAATGGGAACAGCGATCCAAATTGATTTTAGGCGATAAAATATAAAAACAAATATATTATAACTAACTACTAAAATTCGCTAAGAAACTAAACATTTTATTGTGCTTAAAGTCGAATAAATCTTTGACTACCCTAAAATAAGTGCAAATTCATTGTACTAATAGCATTTTATGGAAGTCAAATACATTCATTAATAACATGGGGTTGGTATCTGTAGGTATTTCGCGGTAACGTCTTAATACTAATCCTGAGTGAAGCTGGCAACCCCGGACATCAATGTTGCCATCTACAATTGATACTGAGGTCAGTGGGAATCACATATAATACGTATACTCTTGTATCTACGGTATGTACTTTGAATCATGTTGCCTTTATTTTTGCTACATTTTAAACTAATTAATAAAAAAAATATTTCTCTGCCTCTTCTTAGGCTATTGAGCGTAACGAACAATCTACGCGCCACTATGCCTTATCTAAGTCAAACTTTTAGGCCTGTGGTCGAATACTTTACTGGAATTAATTAAATCTACACATTGATTTATCTACTTTTGGACACGAAACGCATTTTAGCGTATTATTTTATCTAATGGCAAAATCTCGCCATTACCAACCCCCCAAACTCTTTCCGGAAACCAGCGCGGAACCAGATAAAAATCTATTGAAAATCCTTTGTACACGTAGGAAAAATGCATTTTCAATTAAAGGCACTAATTTCAACAAAAGGAGAGATAATAAGTTATAGCCATTTATAAATTCATTTAGTCTTATAGCCATTAGCATGTTTTAAAAGAATACGACAGGAGAGCAGACAATCGTGTGTTTCACTTGGTAGAAGGTGAACGACCAAGCGCTGCTGCCCAGCGTTTTGGTTCTGGACATTTGAAAATCAACAGACTGCATACGATGTGCGCTAATCTGTGGGCGGTGGTTCTTGACCGATCGGGATGTCGATATTCATGCCACCCATTTAATGTCCAGTAAGAATCAAAGCGTCAACGAGGATTAAATAATAGCTCTTAAACATTTTTACTTAAAACTACTAAACGTGGAAGAATTATATCTACGATTATTTTGGTTATTACGGCCTATTACAGGCAGTGAAAATGTTTGTGCAACGTTTTTCTGCACTGGAACAAAAACATTTAAAACCTGTAATATCATGGTCACCTAAATAATGATAGCGACATATTACGGTAGCCTACAAACAATCATTGCCATCATTATTGACGAAACCTAAAGAAATGTCCAGACGAACAAAAAAACGACACCAAAGCGTTAAAGCTGCATTTGAAATGTCACTTTGACAGCCCACAGATACTAACACCAAACAGGTACTAACGAACGAAGTGCCGCTAATGTATTCACCGTTCCGACATACGCTAAAACTAAAAATTGACCAAAAACCGACCGAATTATAATCCTAACACGAGAACCCTATGCTCGTATAGGGCAATAGTATAAGATCATTTCAGACCTCATACAATTGTTATAATACCCGAATTGATCAAGAATTGCTGATTTTACGACAAACAACACTAGAAACTTCATGTCATATAATTCCACGGAATATCTATTCACCTACAATGAAACGTCACATATAAAGGTATGTTAACTTGTCGGTGTGAGTGATTTAGTGTTTCCTACTGTTAATCAACTGCGTTTGTTTGTAAAAATATAGAGCATTTCTTCAACTTAGAAAGTAGAGGTGGATTATCTTAAACAGAAATTGTGAAATCTTCTTTCCATCAATTTCATCACCAAAACCTATATTTAATTGACTGAGCGTCAGTTCAATTGATTCAGTTCATTTAGTCCATTCAATTGTTTACTTTTAGGTTAAGTATGGAATTAAAGTTGAGATACCAGTTGTCTCAAACATTACAAAGAAATAAACAAACTCAGTCAACAACATGGCATCTAAGAGAAGCAAGTGCACAAAAAATGACTAGAAAGATTGTTATCAGATCATAATATACGTAAACGTGAATTTGACGTGAAATATCTATTTAGGTAACATAAAACTCGTGAACGCCAAACGATGGGATACCGTCATACTTACAAGAGCTAAAAATATGTTTGTCTCTTTCCCTTCAATGCTAAAGAAACGAGTGCGAAAGAGACGACGCCATTATAAACGTTGCAGCCCTATTTAGGTATATAACAGGTGCTATTGCATCTATTATAGTTTCTCACTCACACCGACGTAATTAGGCAAGTGTCCGATACAAATAACAGCGGACAGACAACAAATACGTTATACGTGTACTTAGCCAAGCACTACAATCATATCACTAATGGTCATTGACACTTGTAAAGCGTACTTCGAAGTTGATATGGTACGTAAGACCCAGTTACGAAACTTGCAAAGACAGTGATGAGAAAATTCTTTAGTGACACTTTCTTCGGTATTCTCAAATGAAATAAAACTTTTCAACTCTTTACAAATTTTTCGGAGCAACTTTGCAATCCGTGTTACATCTTTTTATCATGCACTTAGAAGTTGCATAAAACATATATTCCTTCAGAGTCAAAAAGCTCGTACAACCCAAAATGCGCTTCAAAAACTGGCAACACCCACTCATGTCAGCGGTAAAAAAGTTATAAAAGTTTAAAAATAGAATAAGCATAGCAGTGGGTTAAAAACGGGAAGTCATCACAGTGCTCGAGTATTAAACGTTAGTGTTACCAGTTTTACAACGCCAAATTACTTTTCGTTTACATTAATTTCAAGCGATTAAACCAGTTATTCCGAGAAGACTTTGGCACTTTTACGAGTTGTTAATCCTGTACTTAAGTTATAACAAGGTCATCTTGTACTAATTTTAGTCTCATGTGTCTTTGAAGTTTATCATAGTTAACCGTAATTAATTTAGCAGTTTTATTTCACTCACTCTATTTGTAGGACGTTTATCGATGACAAAATTAATTACGTTTAATCGTTTTTTCACAATCCAGTTAGTTGATTGGCCCAGTGGCCAAATAGTGATATGGATGTCTCACGAATCGATTGTCATACCTCTGGTTCTTCGGGTAGAAGTCATTCCTCTGGTTCACCTTGTTGTGTCTATAGTTTTGTGTGCGTCGATTTTTGTCCTTGTCATTCTGTTTGTTTGTTTTATCTGTGTCTTTCACTTCGGGGTTCACTGTATCTGTGTTTTGTTTTTCCTGTAAAGCGGTTTGTTCAAAATGTTATTAAATTTCGATTAAAAAAGTAACCAACCAGCAGAGACTACACCAAAAAGACCTAATATCAAAGTTTGAGTTTCGTGAAAGAATTAGTATTCAATTATTTAAAACACCGACATTATTATTGCACTTCGGAATGTCACAAGTTAAACTATTACCGGGGACACCCCGGTATATTAGCAAAGTTGAAAACATTAGACAGCAGACAAGCCATCATGGTAGACATATGTCTGTCTTTTTGACTCATCGCTTTTATTTATATAACATTGGACTGTTGGCACTTAACGTAACGCTAGGTTCATTAACTAAAATGAATGGTAATTATACTCCATAAAAAGATTACCTCTTTATTTTCCACATTAGCTGCCTTATTTGAGCTGCTGTTAGTATTTACTGGCGAGTCAGCTTGTACATGATGTTTGGGCGACTGTTGGTTTGCGTACTGTGGCGAATGTTCATTCTGAAATTTATTTACAGGACATTTTTTATAATTATGTTTGAACTTTTAAGAAATACCTAACCAAATTAGAAAGAAAAACAGCAATCATAATAAGTATTACCACTTTTTGTAAAATGTTTTAAAATTATATTACTTTGTTTGTAATTGTTTCAGTTCTTATGGTAATGGGAATAAAAAGTATTTTTGTTGGCTAACTTCTGTTTAAAATACGTATTTAACTAAGTGAATCGAACTGACGACTATTAGACCTTGTAGTAAAAGATGACACATTTTACTCACAATACGATTGGGGTGTGGCGCTAGTGCTACGGTCAGTGTTAGGTCACACCACATGGCGGCTCGGGCACGACGTGCGCACGCGCACAGTTGCTTCACGGCGTCAGCCAGTTGTAGGATCGCTATAACCAAACGATAAAATATGATAAGTAATTCAAAATCGTTCTAGAAGTAAATTTATTCGTTGAGTATTTTTTTACTATTTGTAGGTAATGTGTAGTTTATCTAATTAGGAATAAAAAATGTACACATTGTTTATTATTGTAAACGTGATAAGTAAGCAGACGCTACACCAAACGACCATGATACCTGATCTTTTCCTTTAAAAACAAGCAAACATATCTATATCTAAATAAAGTAAAAATTGTGATTAACTGATTGTTCACATTAGCGGTGAGAACTAGCGACGAAACCGAGTTAATTAGTATTTTTCGAAAACGATATCAGACTGAAATTGAAACGCGAAATACAATTCTTCTAAATGCCCTAATAATGGATCTATAAAGATAAATTAAACCAGTTCAGATTTGCCTGACACTTGTTTTTTGTACTTACGATCTTGTGGATATCTATGTGGTGCAAGTTCCCTTCTGCGAGCCGTTTGAACTCCGCCCACCGCGTGGCGCCAGGCTAACATAGCGCTCTCGATTTCTGTATGTGGTGCTCTATAAAAGAACACAAAAACATGAGTGGGGCTTCAGTGGAATTTTATAGTAATTTTAGTAGCAACTTTTAGCAAATAGTATTTTTAAATATTTCATCCTTTTAATTGTTAAAGTATTTCGCGGTCATTTAGTAGAGTAAGTTGGGTCTTTGGGCTCTTTGAGCAGCATTTCTTAATTACGAGGGTCGAACAGGTTCAACTCAAGAAACTTAATTTATCTTCTATTACATATTAATATTACAGATGTGAGAGTTTGTCAAGATGAATTTCTAGTTATATATGTATGTGTTGCCAACAATTTATTAAATATAAAGTACATAATTTATGTTTTAACGACAGATTTGTTTATTTTTATGATAGAGAACAGACAAGCTTGGGGTTCACTCGATGGTCGGTGAAATACACAAGATGTACTGTCTAGACCTATTTTGGCTTTGGATATTCGGAAATCCAGACTGAAACCGAAACGCAATTAAACTTCACGGCTTTTTCATCTTTGACCGGTGACCGTGACCCGGTCGGCATTTCGACACTCCTACCATCCAATCAATACCTAGATTTCCAGACGAACAAAAATTATAAATTGATTGGAAACATGTTGATTATTATAAGCCACAACAAAGACCTCGTTAAATTGTATGGTATAACATATTGTGACCTAACATCTATTAGAAGTCGCGGCTTTACTTACATTTCAGCCAGATTCTTAACATCCTCCTTCCAAGCGCTAGGATCAAATGTGGCTGGATCCAGTCCTTTTTCATGATCCGCTACGTTCCCCTGACCGCGCTTCAAAACCGTTATTTTACCGTCTTCGGGCTTATTTGGTTTTTTATTCTGCGCCACACACACGCTGGCACGAAGCGTTTCCATTTTACCCATAAGTGTCAACACCTGAAAATAATGCATTTTGAACGGTTTAAAACGCGAAATAATATATTTAAAAAATATATATTAAATCAAATAGGTATAAGTATTATACTCTTAGAATATTTTTTTCACAACAATAAACATTATTAATAATTATTATTACTTATACAAAACAAGTTTTAAATAACGTATGAGTTTTGAGAAAATACTTTTAACGTTGCAAAACGCGAAATATATTGAAGTACAGCCCGACGTTTCGACTGCTTTAGGAAATTCGTAGTCACGGGGGAGAAAGGCACTTAATTAATATAATCTAATACAGTAGAATGAAATATTTTATTCAAAATTTCAAATTTGATTACAAATACATTTATTATTTCATAAAAATGAATTTTATTCTTAGTTAATTAATTTACCCATTTAAAATTTGAATACTATAAAATTGAATGTAGTATATAAGAATAGAAGATACCTTAGTATGCTCCCTCAACATATCGACGGTGAGTCTGTCGACTCGTGTCGGACACGGCGGTAGTCTTGGCACGGGAATCGAATTGGACGAAGAAACGGCACGACCGGGATAGGCCAACGCCAACTTAGCTTCAGTACGCTTCCGTTCGAGCTCCAATTGCTTCCATTGTTCGTAGCACGCGTCCAGACGCGCGTGGAGAATGCTTGATGATGTTACTGAACCCCTGAAATTATTATACTTTTTTATTTTACAAGTTTCAAGCTCACTGAATGATGGAAGGTCACCTGATTCAACATTTATTTAAAATGTGTTGTGGACCTATTCAGGCTTTGGACATGACTGAAACCATAACGAAAACCTCCCTATGCATTTTATTTGTGTCTTTAAGTAATTGTCTTTCAATCTGGGAAGGTTAAAAGAATATCAACAATACATTTTGATGTATGTTTAACAAGCGAGGAAATCTATTAACAGCGTGTATGGCGCTATGTGTGCAAGGCGATTCTAATATAAATATAATATTCACAATTCAAAGCTACAATAGGTCGACAGCGCAACTTGTGTAGATGTTATATAGCTGGGGTATTTCACCTCCCATCAAGGAAACCCCATGCTTGGCTATTCTCCTCTATCATAAAAAATATATTATAATAATTTTTTAATTCATTACATTAAAAAAATAATGTGCATCCTTACCTCACATTCCTCATAGCGTAGAATGGCGCGAGCATGGATAAATCTAACATTGGTGATGGCAACACTGGTGGTGGGACTGGTGGACTTGGACCCAGCAGGGCACCTAGACCTGAAATGCCCAATATTACACAAATTAGTTATACATTTTTCTTAAAATATATATAAAATTGATTTTAAAACAAGTCTTTAAAGTTTATAGAACTTAAAATAGTATGTGTAAATGATGCTACGTTCACAAATCAGACTGGGGTTTGAGTACCACTCATGTAATCAATAATTTCCAGCTTTATATATAATGAAAAAAAAACTAATTCTGTGAACTTATGTTATGGAAACTTTAAAGATATATAAAAGATGACTTACCTAGATTAAACGGATTATTTTCATGCAGAAACGAAACATCAACATTTAGTTGATTCGGTGGTGGTCGGTTCCTTATGAGCATATTCATCTGACGAGCTATTTCTTGCTGACGCAATTGTTGTTCTCTATTGACGCCATTCTCAAATGCTGGGCGTTGGTCTATCGAATTAAAACCGTCTCTGGGCATAACCGGGTTTATATCCCGTCTTTGCATAAAGTCATTCTGATTGTAACCATTGGGTTTGAAATTCGGTGGTGGTTGGTTAAAATCAAAGTTCTGCAATCCATTTCTTTCTGGCATCTGATTGACTATGTCGTTGTTGTAGAAATTCTCACCATTGAACTTTGGGGGAAAAATTCTATTGAAGAAAGGCTTGTTCCTCTCATTGAAATCCTCATTTGGAAAATGACCATTAGCTTCAGGCATTTTATAGTTAACATTTTCCTCTCGGTTTCGGTCCAAAGAGATGTTTAATTGATGCAAGTATGTGAGTAAATCTGTAGTATCTTGGTTCTCCTTAATGAAACCGTTGTCAAATTTATTTGGGTATCTTTGGGTATAGTCGAAATTATTTGCATAGTTCATGTCTAGATTGAGGCTGTTGGGTCTGTTTGTTGGGTAGTTGAACATATTCGTTTCAGGCAGAGAATTTCTTTGGTTCAGCTCAAAAAAGTTCACAAGCTTCTCATCATATTTTGGGGTTGTGAATTGTGCTCCGCCAATTTCTTGTGCAGCTAATCGCAATAGGTTTAATTGCTCTGGTGTGACTGAATCATCACTGATAGGATCAATATTTAGCAGATTAACATCATTCTCTGGGAGGTTATTGAAGTTATTAAAGCCATTTTGCAGGTAGTAACCATTTTCATTATGGTTGAAATAAGGTGGGTTTTGAAATGAATTATATGTCGGTGATAGGTATTGAACTTCGGTTTTGGCGTATGGGTTTAACCCAGACTGCAGCCCGCTTAGTGTTGTATCCGGGATTTGCGTTGGACTGAAACAAAAAGTTTTAAAGAATATACTTTAAGCATTAACAACATATAGACAGAAAAATGTGAAATCTGATATGTATAAGAATGTGCAATGGCAGTTATGAACAAAATAAATATGACTCATCCCAATTTCTGCTTAACATAGAAAATAGTGTGTCGAATTACACTTTATACACTACACTTTATGAAATAATTATCTTTACATATGTGTTGACAAAAAAAAATTAAAAACATATACATATTTGGTATGTACCTGGTTTCTGTTGGTCCTGGTTCATCCAGGATCTTGGTGATGAGATCCCGAACCATCGCATTTTCTTCCATAATTCTCTCCGACTGTAATAACATAAAAATATATTTCTACTGTATTACAGAAAAATATTATGCTATTAGTTTGCACTGACTCAAGCTTACATTTGTTATTAAACTCTTACAAAAATATTTATAGACTCACTAGGACTCTTCGTTGTTGGGGCTGGTCACGACCCTCAAGATTGAGGAAAACGATAAGGAGGAGGAGAACTCTAGCTTATTTAATAGCACGCATGGCACTATGCTATCTCACCCAGTGACATTTTTTTAACCATTACTTATTAGGTAAATTTTTATTGAGGGGTGGTAATATTTCAGAGTCACTACTTTTATTTGTCCCAATTATCTTTGGAAGTATCCAAAATCAAGGAATAGTTTCTTTTTACTATTTAATCCCATGTAATTTATTGACAACAATTAGTTGTATATTTAACTTAGCATGAAGTGAACAGTATTGTCTGTTCAATTAAACTATAAATAGGATAAATATTGGTATATATACACCAATTTAATTTAACATTGCATTAGTATTGTTACATTACATTTAAGAGCTTACCGTCCCACTCACTATGTGGGACTAAAAATATGTATGTAGCACGAAATGCACACAGTACATAACTTCACAACACTTACTTAGGTATGCACTCAAAAACTACTTTAAAATATAATTATTTTTAACAAATGCATGTTTATAGAATGAATGTCCACTGCTTAAAGCGATTTTATTGTCGCATATAATATCACAAGTAACTTATTTCCGTGAAGGACAATACTCAAATGCTGACAGAGAAAGTAGGAAACAGTCTAGGCGTATCTACTGCGTATTAAAAGCAATGATTGAAACAATATGCATAACATCACGTTTATTGGTATTAAATACTCAAAGTACCGGGTCAGGAATCACTTGTTGTGTCCTTTAGTACTAACTATACTATTCTAAAAATATTGTGACTAGTTTTCTGTCACCTCGAGAATTCATACGTGGTTGTTGAAGGACCTGCTAGTTAAAGCCTTGAATAGAATAATTCGATGTAATAATATTATTTTGTCACTTTAGCGCACAGTTTCACAACACAAGCAAATTTTCCCGGATTTTGGGTCACAGTGACAGTTCCAATTGGACATTTACAACACCCAAGGGAACAGCACGTCTCACAATACACCATTTACTCACCTGGTCAGCTTCATTTTCAACGTTTTTAAACGCGTTACTTATGTGGCATAAATCACTGAAGGCCATTTAAAATTTATAAATATTTCTTGCCACGATACATAGGAGCTAACAGTGCTAAGCCATTTTTTCATTGACCTATAAAATATGTATAAATCGTACTATAGCCTATAAACTTGCTATTGGTATCGGTGTTGCTGTTTTATGATCATGAAGACAACAATAATATTTTATATTATACTTTTGCTCAGTTTACATCGAATATACCTGATAATAATTGTCATTTACTAATATGTAAGTAAACAATAAAAGTAATACCCAAAAATCTAACGTTTGCAATTATTAACATTTTTCCCGCCCTTTAACTTTTTATTTCCTGAAATGTCAACAAAATTCCAATCAAATAATAATTTGAGCAAGTAGCCTATATGATAAAAAAAAAATGTGGAAAATTTTTGTTAACATGTGTAATAAACTAAATTATTAATTTTTGTGTAAAAATATGCTTTCTGTATGTTTCAATAAGTTATTTATACTGCGCTAGTAACATTTACCACAATATTAATTAAAGCGTACAAAAGTTATTTATATTACTCCAAATTCCACGTGGTATCCTATTAATTTGAGGAATATAATATTCTTGTACTAAACATAAAAGAAATTCTAAATAATAACTGAGCTATTGTGGCAACACTGCAGTAGCAGTACTAAAATTTCCACCGCGCTTTAAGGTTATCTGTCATTTTTAAATTGTTTTTAGCGTACTCTTGTGGCATAATAAAGTACCACTGCAATTGCTAGATGGTTTTCTAACCTTTTCATAGGCGCAGCTCTGAAATACAATTTTAATGTACAACAGATGGCTGCGTTTCCCAAACATATTATGTATTTAAATCTTCAAACTCACTATAATTTTCCAGGAATGATACCTAGTACTTATAAGACCGCACTTATATAATAGACATGCTAAATTGTGTAATTAAGAAACAAAAGAACTTACTTTTTGAACGCATTATGTATAATACGTACTTTTTACTATGCATTAAACATCTAACAGTGAACACAAATTAAACATTAATATTTGTTTCAGATAAAAATATAAATACAGAAAGTGCAGATGTGTAATTAGTAATAACAGTTATTATTCTATTAACGTTGAACGTTTGCAGACAAGTTGAATAATGGAAGTAAGGACGTCCTGTGGAGATGTCAAAAACAGGTGATAGGGTAACATCCCGTCGTGGACAAATATCATAATGGCGGCAACGGAAATTATATTCTGTATCTGTAAAATCTATTTGGGTCTGTTGAAAAAATACAATATTGTTCTTTTTTATCGGCCAGAGATAAATTATTTTTCTTAGTTATCTTTATTGATTATTTCATATTATAAACACTAATTTTATCAAAAAAAAATATTTCCAATTAGTAATTAATATACTTTCCTTTGTATGTACCTATACTTTGTATGTTGGTTCGTACCTATTTTCAAGTTAGTCCGGAACTAGTTATTAGGTTGGATGAAAAAGTTATAAGAAATGCCGGTTTATAATACCTACGTGTTATATTTAAATGAAAATAAATTTTCTGATATATATTTTTCAGATATGAGATATATTGTTCAATCGTATTATTGAATACCTATATTGTATTTGGTGAAGTTGTCTAACCATTATTTGTGTATCAACCTACAGTTAGTATGTAGGTGGTACTCGTCGAAGTAACAGGTATAAAGGCAGATGAGATTTCGTTACAATCCGCCTGCACTGATACAATTGCATCACAAACAATTCGCACAAAGGGCTTCATGCCTCGCCGTTTGTAATTAATGCTATTCGTCGAACTGTGTGAATTACTCGAACGTAAGGTTATTTTTAGATACTATAAGGATACCTAACTTACTGAGTGGTGTTGAATAAAATGTATTAGTTTGTATTTAATACTAGTTCGACGTATAAGGCCATATTATATACAAAGTTAAAACATTAATTAGATGTTTTAATACTTTTACAATAAAAGAAAGAAATATGTTAATTTATTTGCCCAGTTCTTTGTTATCACATAGATAAGTTTGACACTAGTGGTAGGTACCAACCTGAATATCTCTTTATCTAGTAACTACATCCGTTTGGTCGAATCAAATAATTATTAGGTATCTTACCTTTAACATAAACGTGGAAATAATAGTAAAAGTTGTACTTACCTATCTAGGTAGATAATAATAATAATAAAGCCTTTATTGCTGTTTCTTTTTTTTTACAAAAATAGCTTAACATAATATGCCTACTTGCTAAAAACTTAATTTAAATTCTAATTTATATTTAAATGATCGGCAACTGGTTGCTTTTGTTGAACAGCTTGTCTGTCGACAAAGGCCTTCTCTAAAGAGTTCCACCTATCCTTGCCTCTCGCTAATCGGTTCCATACTGGGCTAGCTATTTTCCGTATATCATCTTCCCATCGTTTGTTTTGTCTGCCTCTCTTTCTTTTACCATCCCTTGGAAACCACTCTGTTATTAACCTAGTACATTTTTTTATTTTTTCTCTCAGCATAATGTCCTGTCCAACGCCATTTAAGCAGTCTGTAGGCTGTGTGTGCATTTTTAAATTTGGTCTTTTCCTTAATTATTTGCAATTTTACTCTATCTCTCCTCTTTATACCCAAGATGCTTCTTTCCATTGAGTTCTGGCAGACTTGTATTTTTTTTCTTGTAGGTAACTCTGTTAAAGCCCATGTCTGACATCCGTATAGCAAACATGGTGTAATGCATACCTACTTCGAATAAGTACTTTCTTCTTAGCTGTCATTGGCATATCTTTATCTGTAAATATTTCCTTCATAGACCAAAACTTTTTCAAAGTATTATTTATTCTTCGTTCTATTTCTTTATTCATGCTGCCGTCTACAGATATGAGTTGGCCCAGGTATACAAACTCCTTTACAAATTCTACTTCTTCGTTATTTACTATGAACAGTTCTTTGGGTACTATTTGTTAGACTAGGTAGATATCTACTCGGTAAATATTCTTCAGTACTCATAATACCCATATACATATATTCGTTTAATAGAATTAACTGAATAGGAATGCAAAAGAAATCTAAATTTACTTGAGTAAAGATAAAAGAAATTTTCTAAGAAACATAATACCGTAGATAATAAGCGAAATCCGCGCCGAATTTAAAAGCAAAAAATTCAAATAAAGAAATCAATCGCGTTCGCGAGTCAAGAATTTCTCAACCGTGAGTGTAAAAAAGACAGCATCATCCAGTATCACTTGTGCGAAAGCGAGACGGAAATAGCGTTAATCCTATTGGCTTATACCGGGCGATGTTTGCCACGATTGGTCGCTGTGCCTTATTGAACTGTCACTGAAGACCGCGGTTAAGGGGTGAACGGTAATTCGGGGGTAAATTGGGGGGAAAAGGTCGTTGTGGGTGGTAGGGGGTTTAACAGTGTGGAGTTTGGTGATTGACTTGTGGGTAGTTTTGGGGTTCCTTTGACTGTTCAAGAGGATTTTATATTCATTCTTCGTAGCTTTGAAGAAAATTGAATGTGAATAAGTATTTTGAAGTATCTATCGTATAGCTAAGGTACGTCTTACATATATGTAAATAGTGCAGTATCGATCGGTACTTTTACTGTAACTGAGTTCTTAAATGATCAAACGATACTTTTTCTATTGTACTAACGATTTCCTTGTAAATACCTCAGCAAATTAGTGTTACTTACTTAAAGAGACCATTACCTATGATATAAGTAGGTAAAATTTGAACCTAAATAAGTAAGTAAGTATTAATCGTAAATAAACTCAGCGTATAAGAGAATTGTATGCATAAATAATACAATGGCTTCAAATCCCACATGCTTAATACAATCTTAAATAGCTACCTAGGTAATTATTATCTGTAGTCTACGCGAGCGGAACATAAATACCCGTAAACGCTTTTGATTAATATTTCACGTTTTAAACCACTACAATTGTTTAAGTTGATAGTTTTTAACGTAAATGATATTGATAGTGTTTTCAGTAGTTGCAAGCATTTCACATAAAGTTTCAAATAAATATTGTAAGCAAAATACTTACCTATTTTATTACGAGTAGTTGATATACTAAATTGTAATTGTCGTAGGCACAAGAGTAAGTGTTTTGTTTATTATTAATATCTAAACTCACTGTGAAGCACCAGCAATGTCTCACAACAAACTGAATTTATTTTATTTACAATCGTATCAAAACAATAATATTACAAGTTATTACAGACTACTTCTGTACAAATGATCGGATTGGTGGAGAAAGAGCGGTAAATCTGTTGACTTTTCGTCTCTGATGTCATTTTAAGCGGGAACGCCACGCCCTACCTTAATATCACAATTCTTATTGGATCACAGGCAGCAAATATCAAATGTTATATTCTCTGTGGCAGATAGAACATATTAAGTATTATGACATTTGACAACAGACTGACTCAAGTTACAGAATGAGGTATCATAATTATGTTTATATATCAAACACATTACATTTATAATCTGTAATAACTTTATAATTATATAATTTTTGTTAATATGTTTATAATATTTGGATGTGTGATAATTTTGTAAGTAAACCTGTATGTTGGCTCATAGGTATGTTTTATACTAACATATAATATCATACGCAGAAGCATGGTGGATTATTAAGGTGTAAACAAAACTTAAATTTGTTGTGATTGGTAAAAGTATCAATTAGCAGGTCTGATATCGCAAACTGTTGATTAAACATTTTCTTTAATTAAATTACAAGGCGCGTCGTAGCAATCGGAAAACCATTCCAATAAAATCGACGTCATTATTCTAAATGGCGGGACGCAACAGCGTAATGCCACAAATTAAAGCTTAAAACGGGCGCTTAACAGCTGACCCAAACCCCCACCGTGTAGGGTTGCCGGGAGAAGGTTTTAGTGTAAACCTTTAATTTATTAGAAACAAATTTAAAAAATATTATTAAATAATAGAAGTCTATGACACTATAATCTATGATTGAGACATACGGAGGTACTTTATCAATATTTTTATTCTATCTGTTTCTATGATACGTATAATTTATTTTATTCAAATAATACGATTTAAACCTTAAAAGCGTTAAAAGAAAACATTTTAATTCAAAATAATCGGATAATTTAAAACTATTTTTTTTAAAGTATGTTATAATAAATGAAAGAAACAACATAAGTAAATTTATTTAATTTTGTGGTGTGGTTACCCTATCTCATCTATCCCCATCAGAGAGGAAAAGCAACGGGGCGGAGCGGCCACGCCTTAGCCGAGCGATGTCAACCGCGCGGTACGTCAAAAGTGCTACGGCGGTCGCGGCGCGCGCGCGAATCGCTGTTACAGCGATACGTCATACGTAATTGAAAAGAATAGTATAATCTATGGTATTAATTATAATCTGTATAAAAAATAAATAATATAATTTATAATATTTTACGTTTATAAAATTTCAAGCAAATTACTAATTTAACGATTTTCGTGATTAACGAATTATATGCTATATATAAGATAAGATATTTCGTATTATAATTATTTTGCTAATCAACCCTGATAATTACTAAATCGTGGACGATAAAATCTACTTAATTCTGTTTCGTTGTTAATAATAATGGAAGTCGCACAAACACCATTGCAATTGACGCAAAATGAGCATCCAGAGGGTAGAATGCCAGGTAAGAAGATATTTTTTATTCTGTCACATTAATATCAAATAGCATGAGAAGAATTTTTTAACCGTATTGTTTTGTATATTAACTTTTAGAAATTTAATTTGAAATAATTTTCTACTTTGCCATAAATTAGGTACTTTGCCACCATTTTATATTTTATACAATAGACATAACTGAATTGTAAGATAAGACAAACTTTCTTCTTTTAAGATTAATAGGTACTATTCTAATTCTCTTGGTATTTAAACGAATAATAAAAAATGTAGATATTATGTTCTTCTAGGCATCAGCCGCCAAGTCATTAATTTCTAGTTCAATCAAAATTTATTCACCACAAAGAGTAACTCGTGATTATTTATCTGTTAATGATTTTCCTACATTTAAGTCGTTCAGTGCTACGAAAATCTCGTAGAGCCAAAAGGGATGATACATCTTCGTAGGGTTACGGCGCCACGGACGTTCGCGCACTACGATTTTCGTAGTAACGTAGCGTCGGATTAAAATACTGAAATATATTTTTTAATCATTTCTTTTCACTTAAACTATTTAATTTTGCAAATTTAACTTAATATGTAATGTAAGGAAGGTTTTCTATCTTTGTTTTGATTTAAATAGACTTACATAGATTTAAGAATAGGAAAAGTAAAGCTAGCATTAAATAAGACTTTAACATGTCAAAATGCGATAAAATATAGTATTAATTTTTTATTTGTTATGAAAGGCTATGAACCATTTTAAATGTCCACTGTGAATTGTTTTTTTTTAATACAATACTTTACTTATTACTACTACCTGACTAATAATAACAAACCTAAAATTATATTTGTATATTGACTTGAATAGCATAAAGAATTGGTGGTTTTTAATTTATAATTTAAAACATTTTTATAAGTGCCTTATACCCATTAGTTATGTTAGAAGATGCGCAAGATGTATATAACTTAAGTCTTTTATTTATACCTGCAATAAAAACCGAATCAATTTTCTGTCGGCCATTATTCACTGCTACCATAGTCAAAGCTGCATCAGTATTCCGAGCACGATTTCCGGTAACGCGGGGTCTCTTCGACTGATTTTCAGCCACTCCATGATTTGCCACTTCCCCTGTCAGCGATTGTACTGAATACAAAATAGCCAATAAACGAAATTCCATTTTCATGTTCTAAATTCAAATTATGTGTTCTCGCTTCGAATAATTTTGTTGATACAGGTCAATGTTTATTATTTATATAAAATTGTATAACGCTGATTAATATTTTTATTAGAATTTTAGTTTAAGTTATTGATTATTTAAATACCCATCGATCTCTAAGTTTAAACGTAACGCATGTACCCTAATTAGATGGTTTTTTTAACAAGAATTCTAACACAAAGAAGAGAGACAAGTATAAAACAATAAATTTTGTACAAGAAACATTGCATTACAACGAACGTTAAATCCTAAATGTATTACTATTTTACATATGTAAACACTGCGTTTGTATTAGTTATTTTTACATTCTTGTCCACTTTTTTTTTTACAAAACATCGCTAATTCTGTATTTTAGTCTAGCCAGTGCTATGTCTGAAGACTTCATATAGACCTTCATACATTTAATACTTACGAATCGTACTCATTAGTTAAACTGATACACTGTTTGAAAGTCGTAATACATTAAATAAGCAATGAATTTTCTTTATATATAGAGTGTACAGCCATATAAGAACGTTTTATGTTATATCTTTTGTTGGCAATAGCGAAGGACATAAAAGAAAATTGTATGAGACATAAAAAGTACAGTTTGGGAAATTGGAAGTCGCGGAGAGAGCGAAGTAAATCCCTGTATCAAGATAAATCAATGTTTGTACGGAGGCACTCATAGGCGAACAGGGGGTGATGTGGAGCTACTTTATACAAACAATTATATATTTTTATGTTTCCTTTTTATTGACGGAGTACAAAGTATACTTTGTACCGTCAATACAAGTAATCTTAATACTTTACATTTGTTTTAATCCGATTTTTTATAATTTAGCCATAAGTACATATCAACAGACAACTTCAAAGTGTCACTAATTATTTCTCCTTTACTTAAATTAACTACGCAATCTTGAAAATCTTTTGGGTTTGATTTGATAAACGAATCTCAAGGATAAATACTATAATAACGTATGTTATAATAAATAAATGAGAAATTTACTAAAATTTTCGTTTCCGCTACAGTTCGTTTCTCTCTACATCTTTTCCTATTCAAGATACAGTGAGAAAACTTTGTCGCTTGCCGTTTTATTTGGTTTTCTTTTGACGTACCCTCTCGGTCTGATTAATTCCCGCCCCGCTATCTTTTCTCAAACGAGCAAACTAAGCACCTTTTTGTTTATGTAAGATTGAAATTTAAACCGGAAACGTGACAAAAATACGTTTGACTTTATTTAAAGTTAATCCAATATTTTTAATATTTCTAATATATTTTTTTACGTAACATGCAGTGCAAACATTACATCACTACAGAGTATAAAACAAAGTTGCTTTTTATATCCCTATGTACGTTTAAAACTACGCAACCGATTTAGATGGTTTTTTTTTTAATAGATAGAGTGATTCATGACAAAGTTTTTTATATACAACGTTCACAGTTTTTCTGTAGTGTATTTTGTATTAGCATTGCACCCGAGCGAAGCCGGGGCGGATCGCTACTAATTTATAAAACTGCCTTAATAAAAAGGATTGAATAAGTTAAACACAATATAAATAAAACCGTAGTTTAGTAGTGGTGAGAATTTCAAGCATAAGTAATTTAAATTTTGAACGGACTTTTTCGGTCTTGTTTTTAAGTGAAATCGGTACGACGACTTCAAGTTTATATTTACTGGGGTATAACTTATTACCTTTTAAAATATCTCCTTTAGAATACGCTTATATTACAAAAATATTTACATAGTCATTTAATATAGCTGTAGTAAAACGGTAACTATTGTAAATTTTAACAAAGGCACGTTGACCTAACAATTTGCTGTGGCTAGTGGCAATCCGGACGGCGATAAAATCAATATTGTCCTGTAGACCAGGGAGCGACATACATCATTATAACAGTTATATATATACGAGAGTAAGATTTCGTAGTTCGATTTTGTACGTGTCTTGGAAAAATAAGATTATTAACTACTTTTTTATGGTAGCAGGTTATAAAGGCTCTCGAGATATATTTTTAATACATTTTTGTTCACACAATTTTTTTATAATATATAAACACTCATTACGGACTCGGTAGCTCAATTGGTTAGTGCAACAGCATGGAACACTGTGGAAGCCGCTTCAAGGCCTGCTCGTGTCGAAATATTTCTTCAATCTAAAATAGATTTTCAGCGCTTGAAGTAGTGCTTGATATAAAAAGTATATTTACTATTTAATTACTAGGTACCATTCGTTGTTTAGTAATTAAAATATTTACAAATAATTCCGGATTAAAATAAAAATTTAAAGCACTCATCGACTTAATTATTCAATGTGATTGATGAAAACACATGTGTCAACCACATATAATCTAACGGCATTCAAATAAAACCTTTGTGAATTAAAACAATTCGCACGTGTGGAGCGAAACTAAATCAAATTATCGTGAGGGTAGTTAGTGATAATTGAACGACACTCGCAACGTGTTCATTGGTTTGGTACAAGTTTATATTGGTGAGTTGTGAATTTTAACTGAATCTGTGCTTAACTGTATCTGGTTCTTTACAGTGTTATATTTATGAATAACTTCAATTTTTAACTAGGTATATTTCTTCTTTTGCCATATAAGAACAGACTAGCATGGGTTTTAGTATACTGCACTAGTAATAGCCTGACCATAAAACATGTAAGCTAGATGCACTATGAACCCATAGGCTATACTGTTTTTAGACATTCGGAAATCCACTGACTGAAACTGAAACGCGAATTGTCAATCTGTGGACGATAGTTCATACTCGCGGACCTTTAATTTTTCGCTGTAGCATTATGAAAAATAATTGCATGACATGAAGACTGATTTTATTAGTGATGGTGTCAAATGCATTCTATATAATTATTTTATTATTATCGTATAATGGTAATTTAAAAAATAAAAAACCTATGTTATGGTGTTGAATGTCATATTAATTACTGAGTGATGTCAAATCGTCTTAACATAATTCGAAATCTGCGGCGTCCAGCAATCACTTAACTCACTTGATTCACTAACAATTGATTTACTTTTCACTCTTATTACAAGGATATAAAAGCTAAAGTACACCTCACAGTTCATAATTCGTATCTTATTCAAGGGTTGCTACTGGGACCCCAATTCTTTATTGTATACAAAAATGCTATTAGGAGGAAAGGGTGTGATTACAATGGTTATTTTATTAGCTTTATTGAGATTAAATGTATCGTAGCTTAGTGTTGACAGCTCGTAATAGAATTAATGCTTGGAGTTTGGGATGATTTTAGATTATGTGCAAGATGAACATACTGTAGCTAGGTGACTACTTGCGTGGACGTCTTCTGTATTGAATACGAGGGAAATTATAATATTATATCGTTCGTTAAATACTGATAGTAACTAAATGGAGAAGAGTTTAAGAATTTGACCATGTTTAATTAAACACAATTTTGTTGTGTTATATACAACAGAAATAAAAGCTACAATAGATCGTTACTCTAATGTGGTGGCATTCTTTTACCTCACCATTTCTACAGTAGTACTTGTTATCACGAGAGATGAGTCGATTTGTAACGGAATAAAATTTAAATTCTCGTCTCATACACTAAAAGCTAATCTATCTCTATTTATCACATTGAAATTAAATAATATGTCTTTGTACCTAAAGATATGCTTTCCCTTTACACTCTAGACTAGGTATCCAAAACACATTAAACAAGTTGGGTTGCTGTTGAATTAGGTTTAATATAAATACACAAATTCCTTTTATTTAGTAATAACTGTCTCATATACTTTGAAATTAGTAACAAATACTAATTCGTGTATCACATGCATTAGTTCATTGGTTACAAAACAACTTTTGTACAGGCGATGATAACACATCACCGCTGCGCTGGTCTCCACCAACTTCGGCTGCATTAGTCGCAGCAGCCTTGGCGCCTCCAACATTAAGACCCTGGCTGCCGGATCCACCAACGAAGAAAACTAACCACTTGGGTAAGACAGGTTGGCATCAACCCTACATAATATAACATTATTTTATTCTTAAAATCATTAAAATGTCTTTTGCAAAAAAGTAACTTACGCAACTACAATAAATACTGCATTATAATTATTGAATATAGTAGTACATTTCAGTATTTAAAGGTTATGACAATCTTATATTGTAGATTTTATTTTTTCACCATAGAGAAAAACAGACAAACATGCATCGACCTATTTTAGATGTAATATTCGGATATCGACAGACTAGACAGAAATCCAATAAAAATCACCGGTTTTTTTTGTGTGGCCGGTGGTTTTTCCAGATTTCCAGGCGAAGTTTAACATATAACCAACTATAATGTATATTAGCAGTAATTTCACGTGATCAATGTTTTGTTGACTTACAGGAAGCATAGAACATATATGTTATACTCGTATTACATAGTATTAACATAGATATTAATTAGAACAGCCGTTTGTTTTCTATAGGAGTAGAAATATATTGGACATTTAAATAAAACACTTTAACAGTTTAAAACGCGATATATTTAAACTTATTTGGAAATTATATTGACTACGGTCTTACGTTTCCAAATAAGTTTAACTATCACGTGAATATGTAATACTCCCGTGAACTACAAAAAGTAATTAAGGTATTAGACAATCTCTCCTTAAAAATGTGCTAGATAAATAAAAAATCCCATTTTTACAGGCTTGGTGTGTGTTGTATGCGGTGACACAAGCTCTGGAAAACACTACGGCATTCTTGCATGTAACGGCTGCAGTGGATTCTTCAAGAGGTCGGTCAGAAGGAAACTTATATACAGGTAATTTTAAACCCAACTCAGTAATATTGGTGTTGTAAAATTAATTTAAATAAAACAGTTTAAACGCTTTCAAACGCGAAATATATTAGTGAACTTTTTTATTTTAATTTTTAATTTAACTACATCCCCACGTGTCGCACACTTTGCTGTGGTCAAGGGGGACTGAAGATGTTCCTTATGTTAGAAGATAGCGCCTTATTCTTTTCCGCAGTAGACGTTATGAATTATTATTTCCGCTAATGTAAACAATTACACATAGGTTCTCGAAATGATGTTCATTATTTAGACAATTGTTTCTGAAGTCACAAAATTTCAGGTCAGACACCTCGATTTCAAAATTTGGTGCTCTCAATTTGGCGTTTGTATGTCAGAGAACAGTCAATATTTTTTTAAGTGACTCAAGAGAAAACCTGACATGAACTCATAGAAAATGCCTTCCATATAATACTAGAAAAAAATATTTTTAACGTAGCTGCAAAGCATTCGATACATCGGCCCATAGTTAAAATAAAATCGGTGTAGAACGTGGAATAATAACTAATATATTTCACTGTTTTTTTTACTGTGTAACAGTTAAAAGAGTTCTCTTCAAATAAATATAGAAAAATGACTTCCAAGTTTTTTTTGTTTAATTTGTCTACATTACTATAAAAAACTCATACGTTTCATGTACGTAGTACCAATTGGGTAATGTAAGTCGTGTGTTCGATTTCCAACGAGTCCAATCAGCTAGATAGGATTATTATTAATAAAATAATAATGCACGTACTACTGTGTACAGGTGAAAATATCTTAAAGTGTAAATCCGCGCTTCTATTTGTCTCTAGTCAGTCCCGTCCAAATCTTAATTTGATTAACATCTTCTCTGATGTGTCGTAGAGTTTCACTTGTATCAAGTCCTCCTCGAGCTTGGCTGTCGATAAATATAAATAACATTAGCTCTACATAGTTTAGTAAAGTAGAAGAAATATTGGACTTCGGTTCGTTAGTCATTTATTTTATGACTGATATTAAATTATATACATTTGAACTGATGTCTTTACTTCCAACATATCAATACGTTTAATGTGTTTATTGATTCAAGTGTAGTTCATCCTCTTGTTTTAAAATCTGTGTCACACTTGTGACCTCATTGTTGATTTTGGTAATTCATTCATTTTTCTTTAATCTGAATCTTAATTAAGTAGGTCCTATTGTGGCTTATATAACTTCATTTACATAAAAAATAAACTGTCTGTTCCCCCATGACCACACCTGATGCAAAGCATACGAAACGTCGGGTCGTAGCTAGTAAAATTAAATTATTTATTTATTTACTCATAAATTAAGTTTTTTATTTACCAATATATTTCGTGTTTTAAACCGTTAAAACTGTTTCGTGTGTTTGCGTCAACTACAGACGAAACCTACTTTTATTACATATTGGTTTAAAACACGGCATGATCATTGTATAGTTAATTTATCGGTGCTTTATTCGTCAAAGTTTCTTCCTACTAGGGCATATACAAGCTGTTGTAACCGTTTCTATTTACAATAATTGCCCTGCCCGACTCTTTTAGACTATGTGTTATCCAATAAATTAAAAATAAAGTCGGCCTCATTCTAGATAACTAACGAAATTGGCTACATCTTCTCATTTATAAATTGATTAGCCTTCACAATTTTACAAAACCACTTTGGTTCATGTTCGGCTGATATGCACAACGATCTTTAAAAACAATTTTAGTTTCGCATGGAACAGTAAACATCTCCTTATGATACCCGTGTCACAAGTGACTACTAAGCGTATAAAACCATTTACCTATCAATTCCGTCGAACAATAATTGACAACCGAAAAAGCGTTAATCTTCCGATTCATTGTGTAAATAACATTATGTTATTTTTTTTTGATAAGGTATTAAATGTAAGTAAAACGCTTTAAGTCTTCGCGTTTGACGGTATGCTGTTTTTTGAAATCCAGAGTTTTTAATATGGGATCCCAGGTGTTTGAGCCCGTCCTCCCTATTGAAATTTAAGCCGCAAGAAAACTTTTATGTTTCATTGCACATGAAGGCACTAGCACCCGGTACCATCGGTAGCAACGCCGGACGATGCCAGTTCAAGTCCTGCCCGAGTCGAAAATTTTTTCAATTTATTTTCGATTTTTAAATTTAAGCAGTTAAAATAATTTCCAAATGACCTCAACTACGTTGCGTTTACTTTAGGTTTAAATGTTACTCGGTCAACTATAGACAGTATTTAATATTGATTCTACTTAGGTACTTTAATAAATTATTGTATTATGACTTAAAGTCGCAGTAATTTATGCCCTTCGATCCATCACTTCAATCTCAATTATAATGTTAACAAAAAGAGAGAATCAAGCATGCCCCTCGCTATCAAAAACGCGAAATCCTCTAATCCCTATCAAAAACCTGGCGCATCTGTAACAGAACTGCAGATATGACAATGGGGGAGCATCCACGAGCCACTTAATCCGTAGTGAGCATGTTTCTAATTCGGCCTGCATCTGTGGCCCTCTTGGTCACACTTGACGTTCTAGTTGGGAATGTTTTTGTCTAGACATTCTGGCTGCGTCTTGATTATTTACCGCTTCCATGGCTCAGTTGTAAGTCGTGTGAAATTGCCAATGGAAAAAAAAAAAAAAGTTTAATTAACATATAACGCGGTTTAAACAGTTAAAGTGTTTTATTTAATCTACTCGCGTAAACAACAGACTGTAGTTGATAACTTGAGACCGTCAACCGCCTGGTTTCGATATTAAAAACTCTGGATTTCAAAAAACAGCATACCAGTAAACTCCTAAGACACCGTTGGTCAATTCTGAATGGACCCGGCCAGTTTTGCCAAATACCAATTCCGACTGAACAGATGGTCTGACGTCAAAGTAAAAACTGCTACGATCGTTAATCTCCCCGTGACCACGGCTGCTGCAAAGCATCCAAAGTGTCGGGCCGCATTAAAAATAATTTTCAAACAAGTTCAACTAACATATATCGCGTTTTAAACCGTTAAAGTTTTATTTAAATGGGAATCAGGTTTTTCAGGTTTAATATTTAAAACTGTTATCGGAAAAACCAGTATTACCTTAATAGTTAGCGGTGTTAGTAAGGAGGTCAAATACGCAAAAAATGATTAGGGCTGATGCGAGATAACATCAAAACAGTTTAACATTTGGACCTCATCCCCATTCAATTATATCGGCACCCGTCCTAATATTATTAATACATCCCCCGTAACATAAGTGTGACATGTGGTTCTTTATGGCGAACAAATTGATTTACGAGTGCTTCTGTGCTGTGATTTGAGCTTATAAGAACATTTAGTTAGAACATGTTTCGTTTTGAACTAATACATGAATCTATACTAATACTATAAAGATTTTATTTTTTTTAATTAAAATCAATTAATGATTCAAAAAAAATGTAACGTTGTAACACGACACAGCAAACGGTCGCTCAATCGGTTAGAGCAACAGCACGGAACGCTGTGAATGCCGGTTGTAGTCCTGCCCATGTCTTTTTTTAATATACAATCTATTTTTAATTTGTATAGTGTCATCATGTGCAAAGTTCAGAGTTTTCAATTTTTTCTGACTGAGTTTCTTTGACTACTAACTCAGGAACTATTGGTTCGAATTGGATAATTTTGTGGTCGTTGGTTGAACTGGGCTTTATATTGACAAGAGAAGGAGACACCTATAAGTGATGGCCATAAACAGATTAAGGTTATAAAATAATTAGTCTCTCTCCTCTGTTTTAAAGCCTATAGGGTTGAACACAAAAATAATTCGAAGCAGTAGGTCCTGAAATAAGCGCGTTTAAACAAACAAACTCTTAAGTTTAGATTTATCAAATATCATATACTTATTTTATTACGCGCTAGCGCATGTACCTACATAACATGAAATATTGTTGCAAATTGCTATACAGTAAGAAGACTTTCTGTATAGTATTTAACGCTACATAACAACTCAAAAGGACCCATTCGTGAATTCGGTTTTCGCTTGCAACAAATGTCATCCAGTCCTAAGCCTATTATATGAAGGATTACCAGTAATGAAATATCTTTAATCTTTATTAGTATTTCTTGCGCCCATTCACTTTGATCGAGTAGTTTTTCCTTTTGCGAGGGATTGGGAAGTTTGATTGCTTTTCCTTCATATGGGTTAGCGTCTTATGATATTGCACGAGCGGCATAATGGAATTTGTCTTTTTTTGTTACATACCTGTCCTTGTGTATTTCTTTGCCTGTCATCAGACAAAGTAACGATAATACTGTTTAACAACAATTAAGTTTAACACTTAGCTATTTCAACAGTTCAGTGCTTTAAATTAATATTTGAAATAAATAAAATACAATAGACAAGATTCCGATTGTTTCTTATGAACCACCTTTTTTATAATTTAAAGCCAAGAAGCTGTTCTATTGCCTTCTAGCGGTTTCTCGTCGGAAAAAAATTGTTTGTTGTGGATTTAAACCCAGAACCACTCATGCTTAACTATATTGACAACACGCTTAAGCATGGGGCTACGACTATTAGTATAGGTCCTCTACAAAGTTCCATAAAGTTATATAGTGGTTCTATTTTACCCTCTCAATGCATATAGCAACTAATATCACGCTTGGACTTTCCCATAATAAGTGGTTTACTTTGTACACAGATGCCAAGCCGGTACGGGTCGCTGCGTCGTCGACAAAGCCCACAGGAACCAGTGCCAAGCCTGCAGACTCAAGAAGTGTCTCGCCATGGGAATGAATAAAGATGGTAAGTCATCGGTACATTGTAGAGCTCTTGAGTATAGCAAACCAAAAAACACCAACAGCCATTTCTTCATTTGTTTATATGTTTATACACTCCTAAAGTGTAAGATGGCAGGCTATTATTGACTACTGCCATGAAATGACTCATGATGACTTACTGAGTTCTCCAAAGTCTGGACCTGTTTTAATATTGCTTAAAATTCCAAATAACAACCTGACACTTGACCTGAATGTTTAAATTTTAATTTGTATTCTCGTATATATTAGAGTCAATTTTACGATCTTACAATAAATCTTCTTATCAATTTAATTTTTTTTCGAAAATGTTAGACTTCGTCTGGAAATCTGATTAGTGAAATTCCAACCGGGTTGGATTACACTACGGAACAATATTTCCCAATGCTATTGTATACCTATCAAAAACTGTACTGCTCACCTACCTAATAATAAAAGCTACCGCAATTTATTAAATAAATTATCTCCTACATTTAATTGTTCGCGATGAGGGGTCGTGTCGGCCCAATATCTCACGGGCCGATTGATGCAGCCCTGTGTTTGACGGTTAACATATTTGCTAGATATGTTTTGATAGATTTTACAGCTTTATGGGAATGATTTTGAAGCTTTTTGCCTTGTTAATTTGATCCCTGTTCATCAAGTCGTTTAAGTGAAAAGACAAGTGTATGTATCTATCTTGACACTTACTTGGTCTATACTAATTTTTAAAGACGAAGAGTTTATTTGTTTGTACGCGCTAATCTCTGGAAATACTGGTTCGAATTGAAAAATTCTTTTTTGCGTTGGCTATAGCATTTCGGGCAAGGCTGTAAAATATCGCGCTGCGTCTAATAAGAGCGAAGAAATAGTGGGGCATGTGGAGAAAACGGGGATTTTATTCATCTTTGAGGGTTGTCGTCGCGTACGCTGCGAAAACGGTTCAAGATACGCAATAAACATGTATGAATGAATGCTTCCTCTTTAAATTATGAAAAATATCCGTAACATTAAGCTGTTACCTACGAAGTCGGTCGCGTCGTAGGTAACAGCTTAAACTTATAAAGATGCAAGGGAGAGGCAAAACAAATTTCAATATCCAAAATAACTATTCTACGAGGGACAAAGTCGCTGACACAGCTAGTAATTAATAAAGCGTGTAAAATGATACGATAACCTTTAGAATTTATACCTAAGGGTATATCCTTTCGATGCTAATACTTATTCTTCTTGTCACTGCTATTGAATGACCACCACTATCAAATTAGACTGTAAATCTTAAAACTAATAAATAATTAAACTTATTTTGCTATCACTTACATGTCAAGAGCCTGATATGAGATGCCAATGCCACTTTTCTTATTGTCTGTATTGTAATCACAAGACATTTTGATACTATGTTCTTTAATTTGTTAACGCATTTTTTTTTTCATTAAATACAATACCTATAGTTAAGAAATAAACATATACTTAAATAACTTTTTAACAAAAAAAACTGAATAGATGTTTATAATTACCAAAATTTCTACAGTTGTTAAGTTTGCTACCGATAGTTGCTATTTGTCTTTATCTCACGAACCACCATCTATAGATGTAAAGCCTGTCAAGTTTGATCGCGTTTCAGGTCCAGTCCGTAGATTTTCAATATCCAAAGCTTAAATAGGTCGACCGCTCATCTTGTTTAGATGTTATAAGGCTGCAGTGTTTCACCTACCACTATGTGAACCCCAAGTTTTCCTCCTCAATCATATAAGAATACTTAAAGCAATTAGCTGCGCCAGAGTTGACTTATAGATGTTTCTAAAAAACCTTTGACGTAAGGCACACACTAAATAAGCAAACACGAACCATTTTTAAATCATCTAACCTGCCACGCGTCGACACGCGACCATAACCGTCTGTATACAAATGAGGGCTTACTGGACCCTAAAAATTGAAATTTTTTCGGTTAACCCGTGCATAAGTTTGTTAGTTTAGTGATCAATTCCGGTGGGATTGAAATGGTGTAATAATTTAAATGGCGTGATTCGATGGGAGATTTCTATGCACATAGAAAATCAGATTCCACCTTTTTAGTTAATATCATAAAATTAAATTATATTTTACGAATAACTTTTAATTTCGGCTACTAAAAAATTATTTAATTCATTTTTTGTAACATTCACTTAACAAGAAAACTTTAATGTTTACATTTATCGGAAGTTAAAGAAACAATGATATAGGTATAAAGCAAAAAAAATCACTAATCTTATTTTAAAATAAGTATGCAACTTACTAATTAATTAACGAATATACTTTGCGTAAAACTATTATTTTATTTTATTTGTAAGCACTTGTATAAACTTTCTACAAATACACATGAAGATTAAGTTTATATTATTTTAAAAATCGAAAATAAATTGCAAAAAAATTTTCGACTCGGGCAGGACTTGAACGGGCGTCGTCAGCCTTTATTAATTTTTACATGATATGTAAAAAATAATAAAGTTTTCAAACGTTATAACTTTGTAATTTCATCTTCAATGATTTCTTAAGCTGCAAAGCATAAGGCGTTGAACCTTAATACGCAAGTGTTAAGGTTGAAATTACACTGCGCGATAGGTGCATGTGATCAATAAGTTGAAAAAAATTGTCGATGAGGCGTAGGACTCGGTAGTTCAGTTCATCAATCAAACAGCACGGAACGCTGACGATGCCGGTTCAAGTCCTGCCCGAGTCGAACATTTTTTCAATTTATTTTCGATTTTTAAATTATATAGTACCTCCATGTGCAAAAACATGGAAAAAATAATAAAGTTTATATAGACTGATAGGTACCTACTAGCTAGATCATTACTTGAGTATTTTGTTTGTAGGATCGTGGCATGCCTAAATATCTCTAGCATAAAATAAGCAATTAATTTGTCATAGAGCATAGTTCTCATACGATTTAAGTCCCCTCGAGTATTAAGTTGGCAAGCTGTTATTAGTAACCCTTGCCCGAGGCTTAGTAGTGTCCCAATTCAATTCTCTCTAATAGAGACAACGATGTCACACGAGTGGCATAGTAGAGTAGTGTCGTATAGTTAAAAAAAAATATGATGTATTTCAGGATATTTAATCTGTCCGGTTTTTTTCATAATCAATCATATTTAAAGTGAAAAGATATATACTTATTGATTACTATTGTATTCTGGAAAAAACATCTTTTAACAATTTCTAGACAATTCATGTACATTATTACAGAAAAGAACATAAAATTACACCAATTAGAATGGCAAAGGAAAATGCCGAGGCGTTTGACAAAGTGAACCTTCGCTAGAACCCAAGATAATGAGATTGTCGCGTCGCCATCTCAAAGTGTAACTCAATTAAGCTTTCTGCTGCAGAGAGCCGAGAGCAAAATAATGCAAAGCTTAAAGCAATAAAGGCCAGAATATACGGGTGTGCCGCAGGGAGGCGCTTTCGACCCGCCCTCATTACTTCGACATCTTTTTGTCACTTTCTTTTCGTGTTAAATTAAATCAATGCTACATTGTTCGAGGACGTAGGTTATGGTAATCGAGTAATGGAAGTTTCAAGTTTGATTGCGGAGATTTTCGTTTGGGAGTTTCAAATGAGATTTGTCGTGGATTGATTTATGCGTTGTGTTTGTGACTTTACTTAATTCAAAATTTTCTTACATTTTTCTTAAGTCAAATACATTATACTTCGTGACTGTGTCATTACACATTTAAATACTACTAAATGAACGCAACCACATCGCAGATTCTTCACGGTAGGGTGCTCATTTGAATAAGTGTGAACTGCTTCAGGGCACTGCTTTGTAGTTTTTGCTTAATTATCTGCATTTGCAATGCCCATTATAAAGAAGGCGGAACCTTGTTAGATTCGGCTTAAGGGCTTGTGGTTTTGAACTTAATTGTAGAATACAAATTTTACTGATAATTTCTAGTTTAGTATACTTTGTATATTGAATTATGCAAGTGTATATATGTCGAGCGAGGCAAGGTAGAATATTTTAACAGTGAAAATTTTACATTGATAAAATAAGAACTGTTCCAAAAGATAAACAAGAAGAAAATTAAAGATTCATTTGTAAAATGAAATGCTAATGGGGTGATTTCGTGTTTTAATCTCGCTGCTGCCTTTTTCCTAGCCTTTAAGCGCGGTCGTTTTGTATCGTCGCAAACAAAATTGATTTATTAATGATTTAATATACAATGAAGGTGAAAGTAACTTGTTTTACATAAGTAAAATTTATGTGCACAAATTGTGTGTGGATAAGTATTCTTATGTTGCATTATTAAGAAAAAAAATGAAATCGGTATTTGAAAACTAAAGAAATTATTTAATTCCAGTAGGACAAATTAATAACATACTACAATTTAGAATAGAGACGCATTAATAAAAGCATCTATACCACAGTTTTTGTTTCTTTTACATATTCAATATAAATTATATCTTTATTTAGGAGATTAAATGTGAATATACTTAAAATATATTTTTCTAGTAGGTACAAAGACGACGGAAGCATTTGTTTTCTAACTGAACTTCAAAATTCACATTTGTCTAACTTCCAATATATCGTATTTTATTGTTGTACATTGACAAATCTGAATATATTTTATAAGTATTATATCTCTGTTTAATTTCGTAAGTATCTGAATATATTACGTAAGATTGTGCATGAAAGGAAAGTTTAAAAATAAATTTTAGGTCGCGACTGTACTAAAATCCAACATCGAATCCTAACACTTAACTGTTTATATCAGAGTTAAAGCTATAGACACTGATTAATGCGATTTTAATCCTTCCATAAAACCCCCAAATCCGACCCGTTTTTATCGCCCCCTCACACAAAACGTCACAGCCGTCGGTTATAAAATTTTAGACTTTATTCCATGTGTTTTCGATCCTATTTCCAATGATAATGAACTAACGATCAAGTGAAGTACCCGAAAGGATTTCTAACTTTTAAGTCGACCAAGTTTGCGTCCAATCTCAAAAGGCTTAAGGTCGTGTTTTGAACTGTCAAAATGATAAATCTACAGCGATGTACGGGGGACTTTCGACCTTATCCTAAAGAGTTAAAAACGGAAATCATGTAGATGGACTTTTCAAGAATCAATAACCAGCAAAGCCGAATGAATTTGTTGGTTGCGAGAGGGAGAGAGACTGATAAATTATACGTTCGAGTAGAGATGGCATGATGTTTGTCTGTTGCGCCGGAAACGGATTTAGGGATATGAAGCAGATGAGGCTTGCACCTGATCTTCTTGATTTTATTTTTCAATTATGTCAGAGTTCTTTTGAAAGGGTAATTTCAATTTTAAATTTTCATTCATGGCAAACATTATCATTCATCAATGACATTTTAAAATTACCTTACGTTCACAATTAACTTTTGAAGACTTGTAAATGGAGAAAATAATAATTCGTTTATATATATAATAATTATTCTTTCTCTAAACAGTTAGTCATTATTATAAAACGATGTATATAAATATAGTATTACTTATTATAAACTATCTTTTCGATAGTCCATCCGGCCATCCTGCTCCGGAAATGAGAGCTCAAAGATGGCGGGCGGAAGTGGGCGGAGCCATTTGATTTATAGTTTAACATGGCGGGGCCAGCGTTAACTACACGTTATAAGTTAGTAGCTACTGTTCAGGGCTTCATGATTCAGACGAGATTAATTTTACATGTGTACATAAGTAGCTGAACCTCTGTAGCTAAACGCATAAACGTGTTGCCTATCATTAAGCGCGAGAGGACCTTGGTTCAAATCCCCGTGAACCAACAAATTGTTTCGCTTAGGCAAGTTATGGAAGTCAGTTTCTTCGGTCGTATCTCTCTTGGCAGAGAGGTCGTAGTATGTAGTATTGTAGGAAGCGGCAGCTCGTATTCGCTTAACTGTTTCTCGCCATCACTCGCTTCGAGTAAGTTTACTCCTTTCACAATAGTATTGTTTCCACGTGGATCCTCGTTATCTACTGGTTCTGATCAGGTACATGCTTGACAAACCAATCCAAGTCACAGAAATGTTTACGCCCCATGCCTCACGAGGGGAAATCGGGATATAACTTTCACATAAGTAGCTGGTTAGCATAGATTGGTCAAAAATACATCAACTTAGTATATATTTTACAAAGTATTTAGACATGTACCTGCCATCGATCGAAATTCACCGACAGAGTACACTGGACTATTTTGTGAAACCAAATTAAAGCCGTCTGCCCTTCGTTCCGAGACAGACTATATTTCCGCTCTCCTAGGAGGGCATAAAATTGGTAGATACCATCTAAATATTGATATAAGAAAATGTTGTTTTTGTTGAAGTTGATTTATGGTAGAGTCATACCACCATTTGCGTAGGGTTAAAATCTATATATCTCTTGGAAAAATGACGGGACGCAGGCGACGTCATTGGTAGCAACTATAATTTATAAAGATAAGATAAGAAAGAGATGAGGAGGTTCGCTAAACCAAATATGGATGCCCAAAATAACTATTCTTTGCGGACGAAGTCGCCGATACGGCTAGTTTGAAATATTTTTGTAACGAAAACAGTATTGTTTGTCCTTTTGCCCTCAGCTGTCCAGAATGAGCGTCAGCCTCGGAACACTGCCACCATCAGACCAGAAGCCCTTAGGGACATGGACCAAGAAAGGGCTTTACGAGAAGCAGCCGTCGCCGTCGGAGTCTTTGGGTATGTAACGTAGCTTTCAGATGAGCAAAGTAATTGAACCTCGACCTCTTGAGAGCCGACTGCGTATATCGGAACAGTATCCTCGCGAGATGCTCGTAATATTAAATAAAAAATCCAGATTGTTCATCGGAAAACTCGAATGGGTGCACTCTCATTCTATCACCCGGCTGAAAAGCTTTGTGAAACTTTGTTCATTCTCTTTGCGCTTATGGAAATTATTCAACCACTGCACTTTTTAATAGTCCTTTCGTGACAAGAAATACTGCTCTGTATTTCTATAACAATATACCTACTTATATTTTTAATATTCTTTCGTTTGTTAAAGCGATACTTATATATACGAACATCGTTTCAACCTGTTAACACCACCCATTAATATATTGCTCTAGTGCAGTTTGGTGGGGTTTTGCGTTCACCACCACATGATTAGTGACCATCCGGAGAGACAAACTTAAAGTAAAATATTTTGCTACACTCGGAATTCGAACGTTGGACCTCGTAATCAGAAATCTAGTCTAAGATTTAGTGTCCAATCGTATCTATATAAAGTTATAAATAGTTGATCCTATCTAGTAACAGTTACTAATACCTATTTTTGTTATTACGACGAATACCAACTTTACAATACCCTGATTATCGTAATAAGATATAATATATATATTAATTAATGTATTACAAATTGTTTGTGTTAGTTGTTTCTTCATGCACTAGGTATGGTAGCCTCGTTAAAACCTGAATAATAAAATTATAATAATGTTAAATGAATCTCACTCCCATTTAATTTTATTTTTACAAATGTTTTGATTAGGTTTCCTGGTGTTTTGACGTGAGTTTAACATTTATTATCTACCCATTACTAAAAACTTAACAACGCCGTGGTAAAAGTTTTCACTTGAAAAATATTTCAATTATATACTTATGCCTCATAATTGTGTATCTATTGGCTTTGAACGGTCTCGGGTTTAATCGTATAAAAACAATGTAGTTTTAAATTAATATCATACACATACATCTAACATTTCTATTTTATCATAACCATTAAAATAGACTTGTCTAACAAAATATCCCCACTATATTTATAACAGACCCCCCTTAATGTCACTTATAGCGTCAAAACTAACAATAACTGTCCACATTTAGCCAAGTCTGGTTAGAAATAGACAGGGCACTATTATATTGTAAACTTGACGTCAAATCGTTCAGACGTATATCAAGTCTCAAAGAGAAAAGTGATCAAAGGTTGGGACTCGCTGCATGGATGACTGCGTCATCAATATGTGGAAGGGTTTTGTCGTTGCTACCTGATACATGTTAGTAAAAGGGTTGCTATATGTTACTTATACGTAGAAATCAATACAGTCAAGTTCTGGTTGACGTTGGTCAGACGTATGGCTGATAATCAACGGTTCATAGGTTCGTTTCTCAAAAATCTATTGTCATTTTTTTCCAAAACATGTTAGACTACTGGAATCACTGTATATTAAATAATCGATAGGAATATTGAAAAATTTCGTGGAGGCCCTACACCACTGAAAAAGCTGTTAAATGTAAATCTGCCTTTCAGTTTCAGTCTGTTGATTTCGAGATGATGCCGACGACGAGTTGTAAAATTTTGCGGAACAGTTATCAATAGACGTAAAGCGTGAAGCGTGGTTAATTACTCTATAGACTACTTAAAACCAACGTAAAAATATTATTTTAAATTGAAATCATTTTTTAACACAGGCATGCTTTACGGAATATACCTACTATAAAATATGCTCTTAAGTCTATTGAAGTACATATCTAAGTAATAGAATGATTTGCAGTTTTCCTCTTATGTATGTTTTTACAAGTAAGGTTGTACATGAGATAAAAACGGGAAAAGGATAATCCAAGGCGTTGTATTTAGTAATAAATAAATATTGGACTTCTATTACGTAAAAATCTTTCTACATACACTTCTATCTGATTTTAGTTAGTGTTTAGCTTAATTAAAGCTTCCAAATTCAATCTACATTCAATTTGAAAAATCATTTTATTTGGGTAGGAGGTACAATTTGATATGTGATAGACATTCTAACTTATGTAACAGTCATCGCATTTATTAATGAACTAATGAATACCAATTAAAATATAAGCACCTAACGTTTACCTAAGTATTTCCTAAAATGAATTATTCATTAGAAATTGTGAATAAGTTGACATTTCGCTTTTTAAATAATTATAAGGTATTTGTAAGAACATAAAATTTCTATCAAATTTAAAGAAGATATTTTTTTCATACAAAGTAGGTAAATAGTACAAACGTCTGAAAAGCAAATTACAAAGAAAATGACAACACGTGTCATTCTTGTCAATTATTGTCATTCATTCAAATGCTAAAGTAGTATAGTAGCAATATATTATCAGCCATTTGATGATTAGAAAAATAATTCCTACGCCTAAACTACTTGGCCGATTTTAATGAAACTTTGCAATGCTCAAAAAATACCACGCTACATTCTTTTAAAAATGTGATAAGTCTGGCAACCTGTACATGAAAAATATTGTTATTTAGAACATGGCGAAGCCAAGTGGATCTCAACGAAAACACAGCAGTTAAATTTGGCAGTCAAATCTGAGCAATCGTGCGGAGTGCACAGTCATGTACAGTAAATCATTTGTATGAATACGGGTATGCTAATGTAATATTTTCGAATGCGATGGGAGTTTTATGAGCTCGAGGGGAACGACTGTGTACTCCTAGCGTGTTATTTAGGCAGCGGTGTTTTATTGATCTAGGCATATTTATCTATTTATGGTCAGGCTAATCATATTTAGAGGTTAAAGACTGACAATGTCGCGTAAGTACGACAGTATGGTACGTCACCTTTGTTAAAATTCAATTATTTTTCACATATTAACAAATTATTTTTAATTACGGTCCGACGTTTCGCATGCTTTGCCAGAGCCGTGGTCACGGGAAGATTCACGGGGGAAATCGTCGGGCCGTAATTTAAAAAAATCAATTGTTTTCTTGACTTAATTTAAAAAAAAATAATTAAGAAAAGATAAAATATTAAGTTACGTCCTGTAACAATTTTAAATATTTTAAAAATGGAACATAAAAATTGTACATAAAAGTCATATATGTACTTGTAGATTTATGCTACAAGTACATATATGAGTATTGTAACTTGATAAATTTCACTAGTGTAGTTATACACTTGTGAATCTTTCAAGTTATAATTCGTATAAAATCCTTAGTAAACATATTTTTTATTTCCAGACCACCTGTATCTCTAGCCATGGCGTTGTCCCCTGCAAGATATCCTCTACTCTCGCCGCACTACCCAGCTTTACCCCCTCCACAGCCCGTGCAGCCTGACTCCGTTCAGGACAACCATGAAGAGGGAAATGCTCATTCAGACAGTGATGGTAAGTCTTTGTACTACTAAAACTGTAAAACTTTCCGTTTGCCTGGTATTTTAAAAATGGATATTGCGAGAAAAATTATGTTTTTTATTGTTGTGTGTAAACCTTTTTTTGTGTTTTCTCCTCTTGTGTTTACGGCTGTTGCAGATCTACATGGCGTTGTAGTTCATTGTTCCGTGTTTTAAACCGTTAAAAATGTTTTAATTAACGTGCATATTTCGCCTAAACTACAGACTATACATACCTAAATACGTTTTATTTCTTTCGCCCTTCCTTAATAACAAAAAAAGAAGTCCAAGGATCGTTTGAAAATACTGCGATTAATATTTGCAGATGACAGTATCGACGTCACAAATGAAGAAGACTCCACGTCATATTCTCCTCCAGCTATATCTTATCCGCAAAACTGTATGCCATATGGGTTAGTAATTAGTTTACAATATCAATAATAATCTAAAAAGACGAAGCACTCCACTCAGTACATTTTATCCTATTGGTTTGTAAAATAGCAAATTGCACACATTAAATTTAATTATTAAGATCAAATAAGGCACAAGTCAGTGGATTTATTTAAAAAAACTATTCTACTACAACTTTTTTTACGTAACAATTATATTTTTATACACAATTCTATGTGAAAATATTACGTCAAAGATTTAAATTCTAATTTCAGTCCGCTAGGAGTTGAAAGTGCAGCGGAAACAGCAGCTAGACTACTGTTCATGGCTGTAAAATGGGCCAAGAATCTGCCTTCTTTCGCCAGCCTCTCTTTTCGAGATCAGGTTAGTGTTTGCAACAAACAATCTCCTCAGCTTTATTAATTACTTATAGCTGGTATCCACGATGTCGTCCGCGGCCCGTCGTTCTTGCGTAGTACCTACTCATAATGTTGCAACATAGATATATATCTACTGCTGCGAACATTTAGTTCATTTAAAGATACATTTTTCCTTCTTACACAATTAAGTTAGAGTACCTAACTCACGTATTTACGTAACTTAACGAAACACGAAAAAATTCGGCTTTTTTGACCGTTAAAAGTGTGTTGTTTTATTGTGACAATATTGAATATTGTATATTATAATTGGTTATTTATATTCCAGGTAATACTGCTAGAAGAAGCTTGGTCGGAGTTGTTTTTGCTGAACGCCATACAATGGTGCTTGCCCCTTGACGCGGCGGCTGCTGCCTTGTTCGGCACTGAACAAACAGACCAAGGTACGATACAAGATATAGCATATACTAAGAATTAATTATTACCCTATTTGTTGTTTGAAAGAACCCACTGGTAATTTGATTCTTTTATGTTCAAAATTTTTCAAACTCGCAATAGTGTGGGCCACCTGGATTTAACGTATATCGATAATTTTTGTCGATTAAAAAAAATATTCGTTAAACTAAGCTCTTTGTATTTCTAGATAAATATAAAGTTACTATAATGAAGAATAATAATAAAAATCTTCTAGAGAGTGGTATAAGCTCGGCAACCCGACGCCGCCTACGTGAAGTATTGTGCCGGTACCGCGCCGTATTACTTGACCCAGCAGAATTCGCATGTATGAAGGCAATTGTGCTCTTTAAGTGTGGTAAGTTAATATCTAATACTATTACTATTAATTATTGTTCATAAATTAACACCAAATTTTACAAAGTCTTCAATATGAGCTGTTTGATGTATGATTATATTAAGAAATATATTGCAATCTGCCCCTTAAACTACATACGATACAGGTATTGTAGTAGACTTCAAATATACTTTTATCAGCATAAAAATTGATCTACTAATTGAAAATCTAAGCAATAAGTCTAGTGTTTTGAGAAATATGTTCCTTTCTCCTGCTAAACGATTTGTTATAGAACTCACGTATATTATTAATTATAGAAACCCGTGGTCTCAAGGACCCCCTTCAAATTGAAAACCTGCAAGATCAAGCACAAGTGATGCTAATGTCGCACACGCGAAGTGCCCATGGGGCCGCACCAGCCAGATTCGGTAGACTATTGCTACTTTTACCTCTCTTGCGCTCGGTCACACCACTGCAATTAGAACGAGAGTTCTTCGCTAAAACCATCGGACAGACCCCGATGGAAAAGGTTCTGGCTGATATGTATAAAAATTAAACGTCAAAAAGTACACAGCAACTTATACATTGAGCTGTAAATTTAAGTATTAAAAAAAAATAACAAACCAAAAACTAAACCTATAAATAACTGTAGGTACCATTGCTCTAAATTCGACAGACTTAGGGTATAGACCCACCCGTATCATTGTTATATTTTTATTTATACACTTTATTCCCTGTGTTTAATGATGTATCATCAAGGATATCGTCAATATTCATTTTGCAGAGTTTAAATCTTGTCAAAGAACCCTTCGTGAATGTTACATAATATTTTTAAGGTTATTTCTAGTCATTGCTTATACATATTGTTGTGAAAATTATGTGTATAAGTGAAATCACAAAACCATTAAGTTAATTTGTACGTATTTATAAAGCTATGAATTGCTTAAGCTTAGAATTAGTAAACACTTTCTTAACGAATTAAAGGCCTCTTACTAAAGATTGTAAATGAGTATTCATTCGATACTAATATAACCATTGTTGTAGAAGTAGAAAAGAATAATTTGTACTTATTAAACATGCTTGGGTGTTCCTAAGTAGTCTACTAATAAGACATAATCACTCTGGTCTTATTTACTAGTTGAATGTAATCATGTCTATTGGGATTAATAGTTTGTTTCATCGATACGTTAGGTACAACACTAATTCTTGTAAATACATTCTCGAAATTAATTGTAAATATTTTTATACATAAGGCAAATTTAATTGTAAATCAATTATTCGCTAAATTCATTAACCGCTAAAGTAGTAAAACAAAGCTTGAACTAAAAATATTGTGCTTTTCTCGTCTTTATCATTGTTATATTCTTTTAATGAAAATCATATAATGTTGTCATAGCTACGTATTAAAACTGCCATACATAGCTAAACATAGTTAAGATACGAATAAATGTAACTTGATGTTTAAATTGTATTTTTTTTATCCTCTTTTTATCGATTTTTGTTTCTGTTGTCAACAGCGCCATCTTGTATTTAATACGCTGGTGCTTGTATACTATGTTTTGTGTAGTTCTCCCTTATATTGTATAGATGGCGCGCTTACACATAAAGACATATTAATAATAAGGATAAACAATTTTAGTTAATTGTATACCTATTTTGATAATTACAGATTACTAACTTTGAAAAATCGTACACCGCGCTTTTGTTGCAATAAAAATCATTAAACTAACTCGAAACTTTCGCGAGGATAATTTATACAAAAAAACTAAGTTTCATTTATTTATGCTTTATTCAACAATAAAGGACTGTATATGTGCCATATGTCATATTCGTATTAAATGTTACAACTTTTGAGCAATGCAGTATCTATTACGCGTTAATAAAACGTGTTGTAAAAAATTGAAGTGTAGTGTATCCCAGAAAGAACACGATAAGGTGTTTTAATTCAATACATAAATGACGCCTAAATGGAACATTTAATGATCACTTATAATAATAGATCTTAGTCTCAACATTCATTGTTGACAAGTTATATTACGAACATAAAACTTATTTCCGCGCAATTACAAGATAATTGTGTAGGTATCTGCTTAGTTACATCGTCCGTTCATGAGATAATGTAAATTTTCTGGTTTTAGATGTCTGACTTGTACCAAATATATTTCCTCCGATCTTCTTATCTTCGGTATACCTACTTATATCTTTCTACATCACTACCATATGTGAAGGGAGTTAAGTCGCGTTTTAAACCGTTAAAGTGTTTTATTTAAAGGAATAACATATTTTCCTCTTATAAATAACACAGTGGATTTATGTCCGTAGCATTGTCTCTATTAAATTGTGTAGATTATTACAAGCCCTTCAAATAACATGTCACATGGAGGCAAACTTAGGAAGAAATCTTCCACGTTAAATTAAGATATCTATGTGGTAGGTATTATTATTGTTATTGCTTGCTTTAAATTAAAATTATCAATCATAATTATGTTACAAGAGCTTTAATTAGTTTCCTGTTTATGACCGCATGGAATGGCCCAAAGAACCTATTATTGTCCTTTACCTAAATGTATGTAACATTAATTAATTATTTAATCAAGTATAATACGAAATATCCACTTACTCAGAGAAAGCATATAAGTACTTTTTGATTTAAAGGTTTCATTGTTTTTTTTTATTTTGTATTTCCCTGCTTAAGAGCAGACACATTGTGACTGTTACACACGTTCATCTATCTACCTATACTAATATATAAAGCTGAAGAGTTTATTTGTATGTTTCAACGCGCTGATCTCAGGAACTACGCGTTCGAATTAAAAATTATTTTTGTTTTGGTTAGACAAGTTGTTGACAAGTTATATTACGATCATACAACTTATTTCCGCGCAATTACAAGATAATTGTGTAGGTATCTGCTTAGTTACATCGTCCGTTCACGAGATAATGTAAATTTTCTACTTTTAGATGTTAGACTGTAGCAAAATTTGTTTCTTCAGATCTTCGGTATACTATACTTTCATCTTTATTACAACACTTATCTATCTATACTAATATATAAAGCTGAAGAGTTTGTTTGTTTGAACGCGCTAATCTCAGGAACTACGGGTTCGAATTGAAAAATTATTTTGTGTTGGATAGAGCATTTATCGAGAAAGGTTAAGCATTGGGACTAATACAAGCGATGATACAGAGAAAAAAATGAGAACCCAAAAATATGTATGAAACAAGGATTCTTCTTTATATGGTCTAAAAAAATGTCCGCGAGAGTATATGTCTATCATTTAAGATTAACTTGCAAGAACGACGGGTAGAGACGCGACCGACGTCGTGGGGAAAAGCTTAAGTTTATAAAGATACGAAACAACGTATTTGGATGCCTTAAATAACGATTCTCGCGGACGAAGTCGCTACACATCTAGTTTTTCATACAGACCTGGGCGAATAAAACTACACAATATTCGTTTTCTCCTAGAGGGAAATATGAAAGTGGTTTTGAAAACATTTTTATTATACATATATACTTTTTTGTTTACAAAACATGTAACAAGACAGACAATGATTAAAAGGCAATTTAAGTTTGAAGGTATTTTGCACACACTTAAAATTTGCTAATTATTTGACATGCAGCATTGAAGTATAGAATCGTTCCTACGTCGTTTGTTATCTCGTTATGTAAAAATCCCCCGGGGTCAACGCTGTATTTTAACGATAAACTTGTTTATTTTAAACTTTCCTCTTACTTTTACGAAATCTACTAGTAAGTAGGTAATTAGCCTTCGGTGTCCTGTTTAATTATTAATTAAATGTACACACCTCTTTTTAATTTATATTAGTTAAGTACAATAGTTGAAACTTCTAAAATTTTCACATGTTAACGCAGATATTGTTATCCGATCCGACGTGAAAGACTTGGGGGTACACTTCACTAATGATATACTTACCATAGTCTTATGAGCAAAATTTGCAAGAAAGCCTACAGGTTACATATCTAGGTTTTGTTCTTCGGGTGGCGACGGGATTGTCCAATGTCAAGGCGGTGATTGTTTTATTCAATGCCCTCGTCAGAAGCAACCTAACTACTAACCTAGCCACCATGCCGGAAAGGGTACAGAATACTCGTTACTTATATATGAGACTGTATGGCGTGTATCCCTTTTACTCGCCCATGTATTCCACACTCTTTGTTTGGGCACGGTAGGATAAATTCAGGTTAGTTTTAGAAGGGACTTGGCTTTATTGACGCACTTGCTCAAAATTCTGGGAGGAAAGGTACACAACGCGGATACTTAGGGACATCTAACAATATATGGACAATGGACAATGCACACGTTTTTCTGTACCCTGAGTGAATTCATAAATGTAGCTTCATATATATAATATGTAATTACTATTTGTACCTACCTATATATTTTTTTCTATCGTAGGCATTATATAATTAATCTACGCTGCGACGAGTCATGAGCCGCCCGTGTCGTAATTTTTTTCATTCTAAATAAATTTGGCGGACTCGTTCGTGTAATTGTAGCATTGTACCATTGGATTTGATCCTTGCTGGATCAAACATTTTTGTAATCAATTTAGAAGCTTTCATCAACATGTTGGGCTTCGTCTGGAAATCTGAATATTAAACGGTTGATATTGATATTTACGAGTTAAGTTCGGGTTACAAGCCTATGACCATAGATAAAAAAAGAATAAATCGCGATATATTTTTAATTCATATAGGCTGTATCCTTTTCCTCGTCACCAAATCAAGTGCACTAGCAGCAAGGTAAATCGTTCACAACTGTGTCTGTAGTATACCTAATACCTATAACTATGTAGGTCTAGGTTATTATTACAAATACCGTAATGATGTCATGTGCTCTACTAGAAAAGCCACGCCTCTATTTTTCATAATGGGAAAATAATGTAAATAAGTATCCTCTGATTTTACCAGTTATGTATAAATCATACTCTTTCCCTATTTTATTATTGTTATGTAATTGAAAATCCGTACCGTCTATGTAAGGCATTACTCATTTCGGTCTCTGCTGATCAATTTTTGCCTGACTCTAACTTTTGTTTTCCGGAGATACAAATCCGGGACATATGTTTAAGGTTAAGGTAAAGCCAGCTAATTCAGCCATAGAGAGGTGGTCTGAATGTAATTATTATTCTAAATTAAGCACCAAAATATAGTTTGTTAAATGTACACAAAACAAACGAACCGTTTGTAATGACATCAAAAATACTCGTAGGGTGAGTGTTGTCTTCCATGTCATTCAATTATTTGGATAGAATTTATTCGGTTGCGGATGCGGGTGTAACAAAAATATTTTATAAACAACATTAAAAAATATATATTTAAAAACGATATAAACTATAATTTTAAAACATTATCTTCTAATAAGCATAGATCTTATATTTTAATAATAAAATACCATACTACCTTCATTAATACGTAAATACTATTTTGTTTATGTACTTAATATAATCCTTCGTTAAGAAATTATTATTTATATTACTACATACAACACTGCTACAAAGTTATTCCAATTGAAACTGAGAATACATTTCGATAATGCAAAATACTACAATAATCACTGCTAAAAATATTATGAGTTTTTATTTTATGTTTATGTACACTGATATTTAAATGAAACAATCATACTGAAAAATCAATTACCTAAATTCAAAATCGAAAATAATTTTGGATTCGGGCAGGAATTGAACCGGCATCGTCAGCGTTCCTCATTCCTTAACGATACATGCATTTCTCCCAAAAATTTTTAAGGTGCATTTATCAATAAGTTGATAAACATTCGACGATGACGTGTAGGACTCGGTAGCTCAATTGTTAGAGCAACAGCACGGAACGCTGGCGATGCCGGTTAAAGTCCTGCCCGAGTCGAATTTATTGTCGATTTTTAAACTATATAGCGCCATCATTTGCACATCTTAAAAAAGTATTTAAGCTCTCAATTCATTATCTTCCACACTATCTTAATAATAATTTGATATTCTGTATAATACTTATATATAACACATGGCACGATATCAAAGACATCAATGATGATGCCTTTTCAAATTATACATCACACATTTTCACATTAACTAGGAACATAACTTAAAACTATTATCGCTTTTTTTAGCACACAACCTTTCTGGAAACATTTTATACAATATAGGTTGTCAAAAGCCCTTGGTACTTTTATCTAAGCACAGTTTTTACAACAAGTATATTTTTCAAATCTAATATAACTGTGGTTTATTATAGGAGCCAGAAAATGCAATAGTGTTTGTGGTTTTCTCTACAATCATAAAGCCAAAGGGTCGGTTGACTTCGAATCTAGTAGAACCGATCCTGTTGCCAAATATTGCAGATGTTGCAGCAGAAGCTGTAGTGCCCTCCTCTGTTACTTCAATGATTGCTTTATGGGATATCTTCGACACATATGTTGGAACATTAACCATATCGCTTAGGTCAGCTTGAGTGTCATCAAAGAGGTCCCTTACACCCATTGCCATTAGAGATCCAGTCAAATCGAGTTCTGATTCTATTTTAAATCTAGGTAAGTACACAATTATTTCATCATCGGGAAACTCTTTGACTGAAGTTGCTATGTCACCAAACATCATATCTAAAGAATAATTATGGAGATTGTTGAACATGTCTTTCACTGACACATTAGGATATGGAAGCATAATCAAGAGGGAAAGCCGATTCTCCTTTCCGTATGGCAATTCTAAAACTCTGGCTTGAATAGCACCAATGTTTGCAAATGGGAATGTATGACGATTGGTCATCATATTGACTTCTCCCATTTTATTTCCGTTGCTATCATAGAATGGACGTAGTGTTGTTGATGATTCATCAAATTTATATGTCCACTGTCCCTTGAAATACAAAGCGCTGGTGAGTATCATGTGACTCTGAAGTAGATCCTTACTGTTAACTAACTCTGTTATTCTGCCCTTAGTAAAGGCATTCACACGTTGGTTGACAAAATCGGCAGTCTGTTGTGGTGCAGAAAAATTTAATGGAGCAAAGGAGACATCATAGGCACTCGAGATATTTGAAAAATTCTTTTTTGGTGACAGTTTCTTATCTACAAACATAATGTTGAGCTTCTTTAACTCAACTGTTGATGTTGTCACTACAAGATACTTTTGTATTGTCCTAAATGTTGCCCTGACGTTTGGTCTGTCCTCAGGTTTTATTCTCAAAACATCACAAACTTGTTTTAGTGTCCTTCCGGCAGCTCCTTCTGCGATCACACCTAGTACTGTCCATAGAGTTATAGGAGAAAATATCAAGTTGGCATTTGGAGCTTCAGAAGCTAGTGTGCGGCCAATAAAATCCACTGAAAAGTTTCCAATTTTATTGGATAGTTCCGAATTAAGATTCGTTTTTGTATTTATAATTGCACTATCTACACTGAACGCGCACGAAACTAAAACACAAAAGGCGATGTAAAAATTCATTTTGATAAAAGTAGACAATGGTTCTGTACTTGTGTTCGCGTTTGACCACAATCAATTTATAAGTAATGCATTTTCAAACCATACCTCTAGACTTATACATTACAACTGCCATACAATTATGAATCGTAAATGGGAAAACCCGCTGATAAACTGGTTTTTATGTGGCTGACTTACAACGTAATAACGAAGCTACGTAAATGGAATTGACTTTGAGATAACTTTAACTACAAACAACTCAAAATCGTTGTCTGCTATGTTATTATTGTCTTTTTCTTAAAATTATGTTGATATTAATTAATTCTAATGAGTTTCAATTTAATTGTTATGCTTTAATTATGAAAACTAACAATATCGTTATAAATTTGTCGGTGAGTCAGATGTCAGCTGTCACACAGCCGTCAGTTATGAGTTAGTCAAAGATGACTTTGTGTTACAATAGTGTCAAACATTAGAACTACGTTCTTCTTCTTCTTAATCTAATTTGCAGAATTATTTTTTTTTAACGCGATGAAACGATATAATACAGGTTATGGTATGTCGATTAAAGAAAAAATTAAGTCGAATTAAAATTAAGATTTTCCATTACCTATAACAGCAATAACTTTAAAACGTACTATAATTGGATTTTAATTGAAAAGTAAAGAAAGTGTCGGTAAAAACTATATTATATAATAAAAAATCATTATTATAACCTTAATAAATTTGACATACCATATATAGTTTTCCTCTTGTGCTGTCGAAGTTTAAGTATGTCTGGGGAATTTAAACCAATTTGGTATCTTGGATTAAATTGAAATTCATTATTAAATTGGCTTCTCCAATTATTATTTTTCTGTGGTCAGATAACGTCTGGGAAATACATTTATTCCCAAAAATTATTTTTATAAAAATTTTAGGCTGAATTATTATGAATGTATTTTATGATAATATGTATGTATTTCATATTATAAGATGGTAGTTTTATCTGATAACGAAATAGTCAATAATTAAGATTTACCTAATTAAATTTTATAATTATATATTATTACGGTTGACGTATTTGTATTGATTTCAATTATTAATTGTTATCATAACACGGAAATTTTTTATTAATCCTACGCCAAACCAAGTGTACATATGTAGCAACACTTGTAGCTTATTCGTCATACATTGTCATATGAGTTCTGCTTATGGCGTCATAATTATGACTATAATAATATAATCATAATTATATTACACGTCATGTGTGAAAAAAAAGGAGTGGTTTTTCCAAACCGTTAGCTTATTCACCTATATCTTTGATCAAAAAAGGGGGAGTTAATAATTATTTTTTATTGAATATCAACCGATAGTGCACATACCGGTTCTCATCCGGTCTAGACTGAGATACATCAAAATACTGAAAATAGAAGACTGAGATATATCAGAATACAAAACATTTCATTTTAATGTAAAAATTCGCAGCAACCCAGTCGATTTTCTTGATAGTAGTAATTAAATAATTCACATAAAAAATCTAACGACGAAAAACTCAATGACGCATGGGTTGGGGATTGCGTCTTTCCAGCGTCTTTTTGATTTCTTTACGTGACAGTTATAACGTTCGGATATGTTTTTCGAGCGCCAAAAAAGGCCATTACCTAAACCAACGATCTGATGTTTAGCATAAATTACCAGATCTATACTCTTTGTTTTTAACATTATATATTTAAAAAAATGCAATTATATAAATTATTCCTAAAATAAACAAGTCGAAAGTTTGTTAATTTTATTAAATCATCTTCGTAATTAGATTTCTTAATTATTTAGTTATTTTTTAACTCTTAACTTTTTACGTTACGTTAACAAAGAAGGAATATGACCTTTTTTGTAGTTTGCGTAAAAATTAGTGATCGATGGCGTAAAAGTTCTAAAATCCCAAAATTTCTAGTTACGTTTATCCTGAGGGTTTACCAAACGTCACATGTGTGTACAGTAACAGGGTAAATTACTTTAAATATTATTATAGCCAAGAAGAATCTTTCCTGTCCAGAGATAAAAACCCTGTTTTATTCTTTACTCACAGCACGTCTTTTTTACATGCTTAATATATTTTCCAGGTATGAATCATATAAAAAAACTAAAATGTTTAGAGACATTACTTACTTGAACCACTTAGAGCACCTCTTTTTCGACAGATATTGTCTGTAAATAAAACTCGATTTAATTTGCCTACAGACAATCCTAGTTACAATTACAGAGTAAAGAACTCTATCAAACCGAAACTAAATTTGTTTAATGACGACATTAGAAGATTTTTGAAGCTAATAATAATTTAACGAAAGTTATGTCATATGAAGTTATTTTCAATATAACATACTTATATAAGTGACATACAATGGAGATGATATAATGTCACATTCGCAGTGTTACACTTTCGCGATTGTGAAAATACGCCTCTTTTTGGAATTACCAATGTGAAAGTTGATATTGCTTTCTTTTTTACCGTAAGCAAAATAACCGTGAACGCGATTATTTGAAAACGATACTACTCCGAGTTTTATATGATTCTAGTCTAGATTTTTTTAAACAGACGGATTTCTATTATATGAAAAATGATTTGCTCTATGATCTATAACATATAATTTGAACACGCTGTTTTGCTCTTTAACTTTTTGGAAATGCACGCCTCATAAAAAAACACGAATAACATTTAATTACCATTTCATTTGTCTACAGATCGTGACTCGGACTGAATTTCGACTCTCCTACTATCCTTCGAATGTCTTATTTTCCAGACGGGGTCTAGCTTTTTGGTGGTAGGAATGTCAAAATTCCGTCCGGGTCACGAAAAACCGTCCACAGATGAAAAAGTCGAGTATTTTTTATTTGGCTAGGGCGACCTAGCATCGAGTGAATCCCACGATTGTCTGTGCCCCTCCATCATAAAAAAACTTGTTTAGAAAATCCTAATGTTTACCAAATATACCGGAAATAAACGTAGAAAGCGAACACGAGGCCAATTGGTTATTCGACTTAAACTTTTACTACTAGATTAACCGTCTTATCTCCAACTTAATTTGTAATTACTTAAATACATAATGTCTCCATCAATGGCATAATGTTTCACGCCGTTTAGTATTATTATTTTATAAAAAAAGAACTAAGCAAATGTCGCTACGAGTGAGTTAGTATTAGCAGTACCTACAAAATGTCACACCCATTTATGGGGAAAACCGATCGTTATTTACACGCGTGGGATAACGAGGTTATTGCTTTTAATATTATCATTATAACTCAGTAAGTTTGTGTAACTGTTAATTATATGTAAATATACCTACCCCATCGCTACCTACAGAAAATATAGGTCGAAATGTCGTATAGATTTAATGTTTATCAAAATTGGTCGAGCCGTTTCATCTATACTAATATTATGAAGCTAAAGAGTCTGTTTGAACGCGCTAATCTCAGAACCTACTGGTTGTAATTTAATCATTATTTTTGTTTAAACTATCTAAAAAAAATCTGCGACACTATCACTTAAGATTAACTTGCAAGAACGACGGCACACAGACGATGACGTGGGTAACACCTATCATTGACAAAGGAGGTTGTGTGTAAAAATTAATAATATGATGCCCAAAATAATTATTCCACGAGTATGAAGTCGCGAGCACAGCTAGTAGGTAGTAAATACATCTGATAATAACTACAAAATAGGTAGGTACTAAGTATACCTACATTGCTTCAAAACTTGTTTCATGAACGAAATAGCAGTAGCTAGATGTATGTATGTGTAATATAACTAATGTCATTTATTTTTAGACAATCGAAGGAGAGTTGCCGATTTGAACAGCGCTTGATAATTATATACATATATATATTTTAATTGCAATAGCTAAGTTAAATCGGCAACAAATGCTTGTGAACTCCTAAAACAGTATATCATCAAGAAAGAATATAATTAAATAATGAATAGAGGATGTAATTAACGAAAACTAATGTCATAACTAATTAATGCCACTTAAACCGATAGCTAACATACAATACGATCATTACAACAGTCACCATTAATTATTGTAGTAATGTGTATCTACAACGTATAGGTTGTAGTATTTGTTTGTATCGTGTTCATAAGTATCGCTATTTCGTATAGATGTCGAAGTGATAAAAACACCTCGATATTAATAAATACGCAACATAATTATTATATCACATTGCCCACTGCCGGCCGCCAGGACGGTGCTCAGTCAACTCTTAATAGCCCGGCAGACGACACGTACATAATGAAAATAATAGTGCTTCTAAGTTTTTTCTTAGCGTACAACCACGCTGCACCGGAATTCAGTGGCAGAGCAAGAAACTTTAGTATCGAATTATTGCATTTTACACAAATAGAAACGGATGGACACGTAGTGATATCGCCCTTTGGTATTTGGACATTGTTGACCGGCATCGCGTTAGGTGCGACAGGAAGAAGCAAGAATCAAATCACACACGCCTTATACTTGCCCAAGAATCAAGATACCATAATAAGCGGTTATGCTAATTTAACAAAAACCGTTTTGGACCCCAAAAGTCCCGATGTTACGTTGGCAAGTAAGAATTTCATGTTCCTCGACAAAGACTTTCCAATATACCCGGAATTCCAGAACACTATAACGAATGATTTCGGGGCAATGATAAGGAATTTGAACTTCAAAAATCCAGATGCGGCCGCCCAAACTGCGAACGCCCTCATCAATGACTCAGGGGCAAAAGTGTCTAATGTTTTGACGTCCGATGATTTCATGAACTCCAGAATGATATTAACTAACGTCATAACATTCAAGGGTCTCTGGCAATCTCCATTTAACACATCAGACACCACCGTGGAAAAGTTTTACGACGAGGACAACCAAGAAATCGGTAAAGTGAACATGATGTACCAGAGGGGTCAACTTCCTTACTCCAATATTAAAGAACTGAAGTCGCTCATAATGGAATTACCCTACGGCATCGATGGGAAGTATGTTATGCTAGTGGTCCTCCCGTACCCAAAAGTAAAAGTTCACGACGTATACGAAAAGTTCCAGACCGTATCCTTCAAAGATATATTTAATAGATTGCAACTAGACGTAGACAATTTCGGTTTGGAGGATATCGACGTCAAATTGCCAAGGTTCAAGATCAGCACGAACGTCGTGATGAACGGACCTTTGATTCAAATGGGCGTCGTGGATATATTTGAGCCGAACAAAGCTAGTTTCGAACTTGTCTCGCGAGAGAACATCTACGTTTCTGCCATCGTCCATAAGGCTGACATAGAGGTCACTGAATCCGGAACTGTTGCCTCCGCCGAGACGAGCGCGTACTTCGCTGATAGGATATCTACACCGCGCTTCAACGCGAACAGACCATTCCTATACTTTGTCATGGAAAAAACAACCGAGACTGTGATATTTAGTGGCATTTATTCCAAACCCTCCATGTTCTGAACTGATGTTCTGTAAATATTTATTTAAGACGCTAAAAGACTGTACCATGCCTGTATTTTGTAAATATGGTTTATATTTAGGAAAACACGTTTTATCAACAAGTTTTAAAACTTGAATGTGGCTTAGCTGATAAATACGTGTTAAAGTTTTCCTGTTTTAAATGTTGTGGTTGACCACAAAAGTACAATGATTCAGTAGATATATTATAATAGTTGTCTGGCGTAGCATTAACCTCTGAGCGTGAAAAAGTGAAGGTCGCGCAGTTATTTTGTTAGACAAAACAAACGCATACTAAGAAAAATTAAATGTTTAAAATAAATTTGAAAAGTATTTTGATTCAACTCGAGGTCTGTAATCAAACAGTTTATTTTTAAAACTAATTATTCTCTGAATTTGTTGTAAACAGACAGACCGATAATAATGAAGCGAATGACAATAAAAAATAATTAATAATTATTTTCATGTATGAACCCCAAGATGTTAAACATTGTATTTAAAGAAATATAATATTATTACTTATATTATTTTTTTTATTACCGTCAATTAAAAAATAATACCTACCAACAAACAATAATAATCTTACTGCATAATTTATTTAAAAGAAAAATAATTATGAGTATTTAAAGGTATAATATAGATAAAACTTCTTTATACCTGCAAATGGTATTGTCTGTGTCTTATTGTCAATGTCAATACTGTCGATGTCAATAGAAAACGTCAAATGTCAGTACACAAAATTTCAAATTTAAAGCACGGTGTACTTTGTATTTATTTAACTTATATAAATATTCCAAAGAAATAAAATTAATATTTTACATATTAACCAATTTTACCAGATATAAATCTTGTAGCCAGTTTTTACTTATACGTATAAAATGATGAAATAGTGAAATTACCGCAAAGGAACTAACATTTTTAGCAAAACATTATCACAATGTTTCCAAAAAGTTTACTATCGTTAAGACTACACCAATGTCGAAACCTTCTTGGATATAGATCGAATTATTTCTTTGGCTCTTTAGGGCCCAAAGAAAGGTACAGCAGTAAGTATTTAAGGCGTCACATTATAACCTGAAAAATTTTAAAAATATAAATCGGCGTGCAAGTATTATTATTTTACCTTAATTTGCTTTTAATTAATTAATTATTACAATTATTATTTTTTCACTGGAAATATACATTTTATATTCCAAATAATACACCTTACTATATTTTTAGGCCTAGTCCATCAAAATGTTCTTGGAAAACTATACAAAAGCGAGAGGTTACAAACCTTTTCTTTTTTACTGTATCAAAAGCGCTTTAGACACATTGATGATAAATTATCTCAGGATCAAAAAGAAAAAGGTTTGATATATAATAATGGCTTTTTTAAGTTATATGTGTTTCCTAAAATATTATTATGCTATTGAACAAATTTTTTACACTTGTATAAATTGAAAGAATTAAAGCAAAAATTAAGGTGATAGTTCAAGATTTAATCTGAAAAGGTCCATCATGATGCATAATAAGTTTTGATGAAATAACATTTAAAAAACCTGTTGACACAGGGCCTCTATTAGTAGATCACGTTTATGGTCGTAGATCTCACCTGTGCCTTTTATTTTTCCGTTTTTCTAAAATAACTGTAAAAATAATGTTTTTGATAGCAATATGAATTATCTTACAGAATATGACAACATTCGACAGATTTTCAAACAGCCTAGAGTTACCCTAAATGAACTAGCAAATAAAACTCCAGATAAAATTTTTAGTATAGATTATAGGCAATCCAACTTAGCCCCAAAGGTTAGCAAGAAGAAACTGCCTCAGAATGACTGGATATGTATATACTCCTTCATATGGCCGGAAAAAATGAAATTTGAAGGGTAAATTATAAAAACATATATACAATGCACCAAAATTCAATTAAAAATTTGTATGGGGCTCTACACTTAGAAGCTACACTTTTCCCCACCCCTGTTATAAGGAAGAATAATTTTTAGCCTCTGTAGATAAATGGTTGGGTTGAATCCCGGGAAACCATCAAATTGTTTCAGTCAGGCAGAGTATAGAAGTTTGATCAGCTACTTGTCTGTAAATAAAACCGAGTGAAACAGACACAGAAATGTGTTTGCCGCATGCCCCCATGAGGAAAAACAGGATTTCACTTATAACTACCATTAAATTACGTGTTTGCAGCATTAATCTAGCAAAGCACTTTAGTAAGTCACTAGCTATAAGGTCACTTACTTCAGTCACGTATGCTTTGCCAATGTTCGTACCTTGTATTTGTATGTTGATAAGCAATAAGGTCATGAGTATTACCTCAGTTTTAATTTTAAATATTATGTAGGTGTTAAGTTACCATTCCAGATAGACATAAATATGCTGCCTCTACAGCCAGTCTGTTAAATGTGTTGCCTAGTTTTGCGTTCAGGTCCAAGGTTTGAATCCAAGAAATATAAATAATTGTTTTAGCTGGGCTTGACATGGAAAGGACGAGAAACAGGATTTAACATTTTTATTAAGCTATTATTACACAATATTTCAGGAGATAGATAGGTGAAATCTTAATTGGGAATAAAATGAAAGAATTATACTTCCATATATAACTTAAACATGAATCTTTTTCAGCACAGCCATTTCCAAGCGTCAAGCAGCTGAAAAAGCAGCGATTCAAGCATTACACTGGTTATATATAAATAGGCGGATAGATAAAAAGGGAAACCCTGTATATAACAAAGAAGTTATAGAAGATTTAAAATGCGATCTGAATAATCCTATTAATGTTGAGATTAGTGATGCCTCTATTGAAAGAATTAACAGTATATGGAAGGACTATGAGAGTGACATAAGTAAGATTTTTTGGCTAACAGTGATAAAAGTAGTAGTTGTCTATAAATAAAGTATTGGGATTTATCATAGTGTTAAATACCCTTAAATAGAATCTTCTGCTACCACCTAATTTCTTCCTCTTTTTCTTTCTAGCTTCTCTAAAGCTTTATTGAGCTGTATCAAAGATATAGCTTCAACTTTCTTCTTACTAATGGTACACAGTATACAGTGATATCACTTTATGTAACTATTAGAATTGAATACTAAGTATTTTACTTACAGAAACGATATATGATGCAACATTCAAAGAAGCAAAACAAAGAAGCTACAATTTTCCTGTTTGTATAGAAAAAGATTCTAGTATTGATGAAAATGGTAAGTAAGGTTACGTGACATTATCTTTAAATATATGTATGTATCTTTAAATGTATGTTATATACATACTCAAATAAAATATGTATATAAGTATACTTAAGATATATACAATTTTATGTGAAGATGAAAAACTTAGGTATAAGTGTAAACAAATATTAAGTGTCGTGTTAACATTTTGTTTAATTGTTTTTAGATGGTGCTGTCGGGGACATTGCAAACCAGTCAGAATTCAGTGATACAGGTACTTTAAAATAGTTAACTGGCTAAATTATGAAACTTCTTTCATTGCAATTATCATGAGATCCTGTATTTGATTTCTATTAAAACAAAAATTTATTCCTTCTGGTTGTGCACAGAAGGTTAACCTTCTTATCTAGAGATAAAATTTAATGTCATTACCTAATGTTACTTCTTCAACATTTTATTTCATTAATCCAATATTAAAACCAATGTTAATAAGTTGTTAAATAAATAGATATTATATATATAATCTAGAAACATTATCATATAGCCAACGCTAACAGAAAAAAACTAAAACTACCATTTCGTTTAGAAATTAATTTTTATTATATAATATAATTTATTATACAAAATAAATCATTGCTCGGTATTGAAAACGTTAGATTTCCGGACGCAAGTACACCCAGTGTTTGGGAGAATATTAGAAGCGTCATCTAGCGCCACTTTGTCGAGACGAGAACAAAATCTACTGAGAATTTTCAAGAATTACGACGAAACCTTGACTCCGCTTCCCATTGATCAATATGCGTAAGTACATTAATTAATTTTTATTTTGAAATTATGAAAAATATTGATTACTTAGAACAAAGAGAAGAGGTGCTTAAGAAGATAGAAGATAATTGAAAATGTTAAATACTGTCTGTAGTTTACGCGAGTAGTACACATTTAAATAAAACACTTTGGCGGTTTAAAACCCGATATAAATTAGTTTAATCAATTAGAAAATTATTTACGGCCCGACGCTTTAGATGCTTTGTTTGCAGCAGTCACAACGTCGATCGCGTCCCTCCCGTCGTTCTTGCAAGTTAGTCTTAAAAGATGGACATATAGCGTCGCGGACTTTTTTTTAGATCATTTATAGGGGAATCATTTTTTTCATACACAATTTGAAGATATCTTGAACCGTTTTTCGCAGCGTACTAATCTGAAACCTACAGAGATGAAAAAGTTCCCCCGTTTTGTTCACATTTCTCGCTGTATCTTCGTTCCTATTAGTCACATCGCAATGTATTATAGCCTATAACCTTCCTCGATAAATGCTCTACCCAACACAAAAACAAAATTCAAACCCGTACTTCCTGAGATTAGCGCGTTCAAACAAACAAACTCTTCAACTTAATATATTAGTAAAGATTACTAATAAACCGGAAATATAATATTTGTCCGAACTTTGCATTGTCAAATAATGAGTGTTAATACCACATATGACCTAAGGGAAAACGAATGACGCTTTAAGGAAGTCTTGCGTCGGAGTTCCTTGTAACTACCCTAACATTGCTTTCGTAAAATTACAGACGAACTTATGACGTCACTGGTGTGTAACGCGTTACTAATTTTTAGTGTGTAGCTGTTATATGTGTCAACTTTTTAGGTCGGCTTAAGTAAGTGGAATTAACAAGACGAAGTTTCAAAAATTAATATAAAGATAGATTGATATTCTTCCTAGGACCGGAGAACACTTTTATTTTTGATGCCACCGATTTAAACAATTCTATTGGCCAGTTGAGCTAATATATGATCATTAAAGGCCGGTGTATTTCTCACTTTTGATCATTACCACGCCTTAAGATTATTTTAAATTTATTGCTAAAAATATAGTTCTACGGACCCATAAGGGATCTTACATGCATGCTTTTTGTTTCCTCTAATTAGCTCTATCGTATTACGGACAAACAAAAAAAATATTTGTGGTTATTAGTTACCAGAAATATCCGTCTGTATTTTACGCCAGTAGTACACTTTTAAATAAAACAATTACACGGTTTCAAACGCGAAATATATTAGTTAAACTTATTTAAAAAATGTTTTAACCGCGTCCCGAGATGTCAGTTGCAGCAGCCGTGACCACGGCAGCGGCATAGTTTAACTAATATATATCGCGTTTTAAACCGTTAAAGTATTTAAAGGTTAGTAAGTTGTTGTACTAAGAATGACCTCACAAGAATTAAAACTCAAATTTTATGTCTACAAAATGTTTAAATAAATATTTTTATTATTTATTATAATTTAAAAACGATTCCCAACGTTTAGAAAACCATCCCCGATCCCCTTCATTCGCCAAACGGGGCGAATTCAATGTCCTTGATATAAGTTAACCCACATCTATCAGTGAGGTCGCTTCGGGGACGTTTTTGGGGACGCGCGTCGGTTAAGGTCACGATACTGGGTCACAAAGCTAGAATAACCTTGTTTGGGTCAAATGTACCGATATAGAGGTCACGGGATAAGGGAAGGAGGTCGGCGGATTGATGTAGGTCGCTCGGAGTTCGGAGATCGCGTCTTTGAGATAACATATTAGATGATTAGATTGTTTAAATATTATTTTTTATTATAGGAAGGCTTCTATATCAGTAGTAACGTGTCGATGATTAATTATTTAAAAATACTTATGTAATAAAAATATGTCGATACACGATAGTCCAATTTACCTAGATGACAGCTACGAGTGTGAAACTTTCAAATTGAATAATAAGAATAGAGAGAAGCCCACCACTCTAATAAAAAGACACATTTATACAATGGTATCAGAATTTGCGCCTTATCGTTCCCATTGAAGTTTTTCAAGGTCCGAGTGCCTATCAGCAAAGGTGTCTGTTATTTTGCCTTTATACGTCTATATGTTACCTGTGGGTTACTGTTATACCTTTGATTCTTGTTATGTCAGGGTTTAAGCTGTTGTAAGCCTGAATAATAGATATATAATGTATACTTCTATCATGACCAATTATTGATTTAATACTGTCTATAGTTTACGCGAGTAGTACACATTTAAATAAAACACTAACTTCTCCTCGTGACCACGGCTGCTGCAAAGCATCCGAAACGTCGGGACGAAGTTCAAATCATTTTCAAATAAATTTAACTAATATATCGCGTTTTAGACCGTTAAAGTGTTTTATTTAAATAATTATTTAATGTACATTTTTCAATGTATAATTCTAAGACATGTAGGACTTCGTCTGGAAATTCTGGATATTAAATCGCGTTTCGGTTGCAGTCCGTGGATTTCCGAATAACTAAAGCCAACATTCCGTCAGGCCCCTTCTGTAGGTGCTATATGGGTTATGGCTGGGCTATTTCACCTCCCGTCAAATAAACACTTGCTCCTCTATTTAATTGAAAATGTACTTCCTGAACTATTACAAATCTCTTCACTGAGCTAATTACAAGAAATGATTTATCAGCCACTTGAAAATGGTATTCAATGAAATTATTATGATTTATGACTAAGCGCGGTTTTATCATTAAATCACTACTTTGAGTAAGCACGATTCCTTTTACGATTATCGGATAAACCTGTCAATTGGGAGATACGGGGAACATTAGCGTCATAATGTTATCTTGGAAGTATAGCAAACCGGTGATTAGTGTCTTCTAACTTGATGGGCGTTACGGGGTTTCCCAGGACTCATAAGTAAAAAGGTAGAGCATTTGTGTGTCATTATCAAAGCCATGTTTTGTTAAAATTATTAATGACCAAGTATATTTAAGACCGCCTATGTAGCGAAACGGTTAAACGTGATGCCTAGCATTGCGTTTAGCGCGAGAGGTCCTGGGTTCAAATCCCGGGACACAGTAAATTGTTTCGGTCGGGCAGGGCACAGCAGTCTGGTCAACTACTTGCCTGTAAATAAAAAACTGATCAGTGAAATGGACACAGACGTGTGTTCGCCCCGTGCCCCCACGAGAACCGGAACAGACATATTTAAGAAGATTTTGTGAAGAAGGGATCATTTTTTTGCAAGGTTCAGTTAAACCTTTAATTGAGATTAGGAGAAGATTGCTTAAAAGAAGCATAAAATTAAGAGCACACCAATAATTTTGTCAATATTCTAGTCCTATTGGATGATGTATAAATTAAATACTTTTTAAAAGGCCTATGTATGAGTCGGGCTTGCAGATAAATTGAAAAGCTTTGAAAGTGCGAATTAATTGAATGACGTTTTCGACCGTTACTCGATTTCGGTATTATTATTTAGCCAAAAAAAGATGAGTCATGGAAAATACGAAAAATATGACAGACCCATATTTATCGACATATGTAACAAATTCCTTTCCATTTTACTCTCCTAATGTGTACGTGGTCGCAGATAAACAGATACTTAACAATTCTTTTTAACTCGTACACCGACGATAATTTATTAATTTATTTTTAACTAATTAAATTAATTATCAATTAAGACGGCCGTTGCCAATTACGTTAATTAAACAATGATGATAGTCGCTAGAGGCAGAGTAGCCTAACAACATTTTATTGACTTAACTTATATTTATAGTTTAAAAAGGTTAATCTACAAGAGCACGGTGACCGAAAATTGTTAACATAATTCTTACACAATTAATGGTACAAATTAATTTTCGCCTAAGTTGCGCATTTTATTTTCCTCCTTATTTAAAATCGTGCTTTTTGTTATTAGGCCACTCTGCCTCATATAAATATTTAATTAAAATGATAATGATGGTTATAACGTATAACAACAGAGTGATTGTCAACACCAATAGATTTTCTTAAGATGACGTAGAAACGAAACGTAACAGAAATCGAAAGTGATAAAAGTAAGAATCACTTTCGTTTACGCGTAAGAGTGACGCGTCGTGACGTCACTCGGGATTTCACTTGCCGTTTCACTTCGCGAAATGGGCGCGATTCGGTCGCTGTGACGTTTTGAAACGTCACCGTGACGTCTACTGGGATTTCACTGTTGGAACGGCCGAGTGAAATCCGAAAGTGTAGCAATGCACAACACTAGTCCACTCTCTAGAAGAGTAATATCGAAATTCCCGCATGTACAGGAAAATGTGGCTTACTGACCTATTAATGCAAAGTATGCAATTATTATTATTATATAATTATTTAATGCGTTTTGCCTCACCATACTTACTCTTAAATGAAAAAAAAAATGTCGATGACCTGTCTAGCAAACATTAAATTATACAATTTTAGTGAGTGCCTTTCGACCACATGGAATAGTTATTTTGGGTATCAAATTATTTTCATAAAACACTTTAACAGTTTAAAAAGCAATATTTTAGTTAAACTTAATTGAAAATGATTTTTAACTTCGGCCCGACGTTCCACAGTCTCCCCGTGACCACGGCTGCTTCAAAGCATCTGAAAGCGTTCCTCGAGTGCCCAAGCAACACAAAAATGTTTTTTTTTCTTTTAATTCGAACCAGTTTTTCTTGAGATTGGCGCAAAAAAACTCTTCAGCTTTATAATATTGGTATAGATTCTCAAATTTTAATAATAAGCTGAGTATGTTCAATTAAAAATATTTAATTGATATTGGTACTCTGTTATATTGACGATTTAAGAGATCTATTATTGCTCTAGATTTAGTTAGTTCCTTTTTTACACAAACCCAAATAACCTCAACAATAAATATAATGGATTACATATACTGAAGTAACGTAATTGTTTGACTCTAAGGTTATTTGTGACCTTTTTATTACACAGTGACTTAAATTAAATGGATATTGACTAAATCCTGTAAGATACATCTTAACCAAAACCAAAAGATCGATTCTTTAACAACATAATTTATGAGTATAAACGATTATACTTAACGTTTTTCATGGAAGTAAACAGTATAATGTAAGATGAATAATATTTGTCAAGTAAAATCCAATGTTTGGCAAATATTGAAAACTTCGTTCCGAAACCCAACATACAAATACATACCGATCTTTGAACAAACCCTCGAATCTGATCTGATCTACTCATGTTACCGGTAAACTGCCTAATCAGGTATCCATAACAAAAACTAGGTAATGAATAGGAAAATAAAACATACATTAAATATTTTTATGATATATTACAGTACAGAAGTACATTTAAGCATGGGATTCAGTTGACGGAAGGTGAAATATCTCAACAAGATGCACTGTCGGTCTATTTTGGCTTTGGATATTCGGAAATCCACAGGTTTAAGCCGAAGCGGTTCAAGGTTTTTCCATCTGTGGTCGTGGTTCGTGACTCGTACAGAAATTCGTTATTCCTACCACCAATTCGTGTTATACTTGCTCTAAGTATATTTACACAATTTTGAAGAAGTAATTTTACTGTACTAACGGAATCTCTTCGGGCGCTCTTAAACATTAAATAACATGTTGTTTAAAAGAGATGGATATATGAAGTGTAATTTTAATATAATTTGTTTTAACTTTATATATGTAAATAAAACGCGATATATTTTATTTAACCTTGTTTGAGAATTATTTTTAACTACGGCCCGACGTTTCGAATGCTTTGCAGCAGCCGTGGTCATGAGGAGATTAAAGATGGAGGATGTCTCTGACGTCAACGTAAAAATTGCTACTCTAGGCGCCATCTGTTTCGTCGAAGTTGGTATTTGACATGTTTAACTAAAATATATCGCGTTTCAAATAGTTAAAGTGTTTTATTTAAATGTGTACTACTCGCGTAAACTACATACAGTATTTAAGTTTATTACATACATGTTATATTAATTTGCTTTTGTGTTATAGATAGGTAAATAAATAAATACCACGATCTATGGATTGTACAAATTACCCTTTGACAAGCACCATCAAGCTCTAGGTTTTTATCCTTACCTAGGTATTGTATAGAATAACTAAATTTTACACCTTACCGGTAACATATACAAAGTATAAACTTTACCGAGAAAAAGCTTACGTGATTACAAACCCCGCTGTACTTATCATAAGGAAAGAGTTAATGTTGTTTTCGTGATTTCTAGCACGTTTCGGGGTAGCCCCATCATGCGTTGATGTGTTGTGACCCTATATCGATAAGTGTTAGCGATTGTTACTCAATAATTGGAAAAACCCGCCGCCATTAACATTTACACTGGTATTTAGAATAGATTTTTTATTAGAAACCAATAAGGAATTTTTAATAGTAGAATGATTGTTTGTGAATGTTGTTGAATGACAGCGAACTAATGGTTTTGGTTTTTTTCTTTGGCTTATTGTTTTTGGGGTAAATTGTGTTCTTAGATGTCGTTTAACGAAACGAATTTGATTTGTCGTATAAATAATTACAATGACACTTTATATTTGAAATATTGACTGTCATATTTTTTACCGAATCTATACTAATATATAAAGCTGAAGAGTTTGTTTGTATGTTTGGACTCGCTAATCTCAGGAACTACGTGTTCGAATTGAAAAATTGATTCATTTTTTGTTGGTTAGAGCATGAGGAAGGCTATAAAACATCGACCTGTGACTAATACAAGCGAAGATACAGCGAGAAATGTGAAGAAAATTGCGAAAACTATTTATTATTTTTGGGTTTCTGAGGCTTGCGCTGTAAAAACGGTTCAAGGTATCAAAAGAAATAAGTATGAAAGAATGATTCATCTTTAAATGACCTAAAATAAAAGTCGGCGACACTATGTCTATCTATAAAGATTAACTTGCAAGAACGACAGAATGGGGCGCAACCGACATCGTGGGTAACAACTGAAGTTTATAAAGGTTGCTTTATTTATATAAGTTTATTAAGGGGCTTGCAAAAACTAATTAGTTTGCTCAAAAAAAAACGATTCTCGCAGACGAAGTCGCTCCCATAGCTAGTGTTTATTTTCATAACATTGTCAGTATTCATCCCATAAAAAAAACAAAACACAAAAACATATTGGAATTCTCCTTCAGGATTTAATTTTCATTTCAGGGAGCAAATAACATCGACATTGGCGAATAGCCGTGTTGCTGTTATTGTGGGTGCAGCTGGATGTGGAAAATCCACGAGAGTGCCAGCAGCTATCCTCAGAAGTTGCGGTGTCAACACCACGGCAATAGTCTCCGAGCCGCGAAGAGTAGCAGCTATAGGTCTAGCACAAAGAGTTGCTGATGAACTGGGTGAAAATGTAAGAGATATCTTTCAATTAGTGTTCATTCAGTCAGAGGTGCTAAAGTCGTTTTCCGGGGATAAATAAACGAAATATCTTTTTGCAATTTATAGATATTATATATAGATAGTGTAACAATTATCTCGAGATAAAATATCAGTTCTGTATGTCTGCCCCATACCCCTCGTAGAGGAATCGTGAATGTTTTAAAGAGAAATTAATTTTTTTAAGCTCATATATGGCCTACTAAAAATCTTTAGCTCACAGTCACTGCAGTTATAACCCACAGACTAACTTCTTCTAACACACACACATACATATACAAGAGTGTGTTTTTCATGATTCGTCCTTTGCCACGTAAAAAAAACAACATGATATTCCTTCTTATAGGCCTAATCTTTTTTTAAATCGAAAATATGTATTAATCTTATAATCTAGCTGTAAGGAGTACATAAATAAATAATAATATTAAATTATAGTTTATATAGATAGTTTTGATATTTTTTTTCCAGGTGGGTGAAACTGTTGGGTACCAAGTCAGACTACAATCCCACCCGCCACGTCCGCCGGCGGGAGCCATCTTGTATTGTACATCTGGAATACTCCTGCGCAGGTTACAGCTCAATCCCGGTAAGAACTTAATTTTCAAAATTATTTTAGAAAAGCCGTGATTTTTGCCCCGCTATAATGCAATAGACTTACCTACCATCGTAGGAGTAAATCCTTCTTATGCAAGCATTTCTAAAGGTCTTAAAATTCCTACGAAAACGTGCGTTCCTTTAAAAAGATTAAACTTATTACTTACAAGTATTAGCTCATCAAACATGAATCATTTTCCCTGTTTTTCCATATTTCCCTATGTTTCTTCGCTTATATTTGTTGCAATCCGATGTTTTATTGTCTAAAGCCTGTCTCAATGAATTGTTCAACCAAAACAAAAACATATTTTTAATGTGAACCAGTAGTTCCTAAGATTAGCGCGTTCAAACAAACATACATACGCTTGAACTTTATAATAGTAGTATGGATTTATAATTATGGGTTTTCAGGCTTGGAAGGCTGCAGCCACGTTATCATAGACGAAGCCCACGAGCGTGACGTAAATACGGACATAACGCTACTATTGTTGAGACGGGCCCTCGACCTCAATCCGAAATTGAAGATCGTAGTGATGAGTGCCACTTTGGATACAGAAGTCTTTACAAGGTACTCTTATTATTCTTATTTATTTCTTTGTTCAATCAATAAAAGAGTAAATGATGAATTAAAGCCTTTTAAATTGTTTTATTTTATGATTATTAATATCTAAATAAAACTCCATTAACGGTTTAAAACGCTACTAAATCTTCTACACTACCGTATATATTTGACTTTGACATTACGAACGCCCTTCATCTTGAATCCACCCCCCTGATACTAGAGCTGAAAAGCATGAAACGTTGGTTTGTAGTTAAAATAAGTTCATTAATATATTTTACGTTTTAAACTGTTAAGATTGTTTTATTTAATAGTGTACCGCAGACTTGCGAAGAAGCTACAGATAATAGTATGTGATAATAGTTAATATGAATATTTTCTTGTTCTTCAGGTATTTCGGGAATTGTCCTCTCATCGAGGTCCCCGGTCGTACGTTTCCAGTGGAAGATTCGTATTTAGATGAGCTAGAGAAGAGATTTAAGCTAAAGTTTCAGAATACGAGAGAGAACTGCACAAAAGAAGATGGAAAGCCGCAAATTAATTGTCAGGAGGTATTTTTTGTTTTATAAAGCAAGATAATTAATATCATTATTTTTTATTATATCTATATACATTCTAAGTACCTAAAATATCATAATCCTTACTAATATTATAAATGCGAAAGTAACTCGTGTCTGTCTGTCTGTCTGTTACTCTTTCACGCCAAAACTACTGAACGGATTTTAATGAAATGAAATTTAGTGTATAGATGGGCTTGACCCTGAGATAGGACATAGGCTACTTTTTAATGCCAAAAAAGGGTTGATAGGGTTGAAAAAGGGAATGAAAGTTTGTATGGAAACACGTGGTTTTTGAAGCTAAAATAATTTGGGAATAGGACTGGGAGTGAGTGTAGCAATGAGAGCGGGAGTTAGAGTAGGAGTAATGTGAGGTGAGAGTGTTGCGGCAAAGTAGCACTTACAATATAGATTGGCTTTCTAAATGCGCCCTTACATACATTAATAAACATCCAAAATAATAAAAAAAATCTACCCCAAGTCACTATTCCACGCGGACGAAGTCGCGGGCACGGCTAGTTAAAGATAAAAATAACATCGTCTTACTCTATTCACGCTCACTTGGTGTTTGTCAATAAGTTTACAGAGAGACAATTTATTTTTACTACCTTGTTTTGTGTGGAACCCTTAACGGGTTACAGTTTAAGTATGTTTCAGGTAGTCGACTTAATACAAGCAGTTGATAAGACAAATATTGAAGGCGCTATACTAGTGTTTCTTCCGGGTTGGGCTGATATCAAGAAATGCAAAGATTTATTGGATAAGATATTCAAAGATAACCTTCACCTCATACTGCCAGTGCATTCCAGGTATGAATAGAATTTGGTTGAATAAGTTTTGGACTACTCCTTAATATTCTTACGCGAGTAGTACACATTTAAATAAAACACTTTAACGGTTTTAAACGCGATATATTAGTTAAAGTTATTTGAAAATGTTTTTTAACTTCGGCCCGACGTTTCGGATGCTTTGCTGCAGCCATGGTCACGGGGAGACAATTTAAACTAACTGATTTATTTATGTACGTAAAAAATATTTTAAAATCAATCAGATTCAAGATATAGCACGCGGTATTTTAATAAAATCCCTAGTAAAGTACAAACACTGTAAATAAAATTTAAATCGTATGATAAACAAAAACTACTTGGAAAGGGTGCTTGGAGTTTAGAGCAACAAGATGTATATTTTAAGGGCGTCAGTCTGCGAGGCGTATAGTCAGGCGGCGAGTCTCTTGCCAATTTTTCTCATTCGTCCTACGCCCTTACTTTCGGCATTGGTAGTAAATGAAGATTTACAGTTTTTAATTTTCAACTGTTCTGACCTTCATAAGTGTACTAAGCTACCTACTTAAATAAATGATTTTTTCAGACTATCTACGTCTGATCAAACGAAAATGTTCGGCAAACCACCGCCGGGCATAAGAAAAATAGTACTATCCACGAACATAGCGGAAACATCGGTCACCATTCCCGATGTCGTTCACGTAATAGACACGGGTGCTCACAAGGAGAACTCTGTCAAACAGGGCACTGGTAAGTTCACGTGGCATTCGTTCATTCCGTGCCTGACCTGAGTGATTGAAGGGTTCTAAGTCTTGGGTTAGTAGTTGGAAAGGTTATGTTTTTATTAAATAAGCTTATTAATCTTAACCGTGCTCTACCAATTGAGCTACCGAGCCCTACACCTCATCGTCGAATTTTTTCAACTTATTGATACATGCACCTCTCGCGCAATGTAATTTCAACCTTAACACTTGGGTATTAGTTGGTTAAAAATATTAAAGTTCTCATAAGTTTGTATAGTTGTATTATTTTATAATATAGTCATTAGGTATTTCTATCGCATTGGGTTTGTCCTTCAAATGTAGAATGAGTTTATATTAGTAAATAAATATGTTTTTGTGGTTTGGTCTTACAGGCACAGCCAGTTTGGAAACTGTATGGGTGTCTCAAGCTGCTGCTAAACAGCGCGCAGGTCGGGCAGGAAGAGTTCAACCAGGTGAAATCAAAGTTTTAGTACTTAACACTACATGGTCATTGAACACTTGATTTTGACATCGTAGTGTATTTTTTAATAAAACACTTTAACGATTTGATACGCGATATATTTTAGTTAAATTTGTTTGACCGTTGTTGTTGAGCCGTAGTTAAAAATATTTGTCGAACAAGTTTAACTAAAATGTATCGCGTTTTAAACCGTTAAAGCGTTTTATGTAAATGTGTATCACTTGCGTAAACTACAGACAGTATTGTAGTGTCTTTTTCACTACATACGCCATCTCTTTTTTCTTAATTTGTTTTTGTCTATTTCATAAGAATTATACAATAAGAATAATAATATTCTGTCCCTTGTTCATTTTTATTTATTTTAAAAGAAAAATCCTTGCCCTGTCCATGAAACCCTTTTTTTTATGTTTTCCGGCAGATGGAGCTTTTACTGCAAATGAGCTACAGAGACTAAACCAATATTTATAAACTTTCAGGTTTCTGTTACAAAATGTATACAAAGGAGAAGGAAGTTGAATTTGCACCGCATTCCTCTCCAGAAATATTACGGTAAGTCTACGTATGAAAACTTTAATATTTTGCTCATGTAAAAATTCTATTTACTTTAAAAGATATTACGGCACGGACGGTGCGCGAGAGGTACATCCCTTCATAAGTTGAAAAATTCGACGATGACGTGTACGGCAAATAGTTACGGCAGAAGCACGGAACGCACGGACGGTTCCAATCCCGCCCTTGTCAAAATCGTCAAAAAAGCGAAATCTTTTATATTGTAATTTTTTACTGTGCTATATATATATATATATTGCAAAAGATAATAATATCCTTTTTATCAAATTTCCGTGTCTATTCGTAATGTATATACCAATAGAGCCTCCTGCCAGTGCCTTAACTTACTACAAATTTTTATCTTTTAGGATACCCCTAGACCAAACGGTATTAGATTGCAAGACATACGCTCCCGAAGAGAAAGTGGAAGATTTCCTCTCGCAGTTACCCCAGCCTCCTAGCAAGGATTCGGTTAGATTTGCCGTCAACGACCTCATAGATTTAGGTGAGGTTTTTGCTGGAATAAGGTTACTAGACGGATTTGATTTATGCTTTTGCTCAAAGGTTACTAGACGGAACTTATTTTACTTGAAAAATATATATTTTATAATGTCTAAATGTTTCTTTCCCAACTACGTTTATATATCTTATACCATGGTATAATAAGACCTATAGCTTACATTTGGTATAAATGTGCCACATTTCGAATAATGCATCAAAAAAAACTCATCTACTAATGCTAAGAAAGTAAATTTTTAATGTCCGGTAAAAAATTCACTTCTTAAATTAATATTTTAAGTGATTGTTAGTTTTTCAATTCGATACTGTTTCTGTACTGTACTGTATAATCTGTATCTAATACTGTCTATAGTTTACGCGAGTAGTACACATTTAAATAAAACACTTTAACGGTTTAAAACGCGATTTATTAGTTAAACTTATTTGAAAATGATTTTTAATTTCGGCCCGGTGTTTCGGATGCTTTTGCAGCAGCCGTGGTCACGGGGAGACTCCACGGCAAAGTTAAAAATCATTTTCAAATAAGTTTAACTGTTAAATATATCGCGTTTTAACCCGTCAAGTGATATTCAATTCAGATAATCTGTATTTTCTATATAAATTGGCGCCTTCCATGGCGTGTATGGCACCTACTACCCTTCTTATATATGGCGGCTCTGTGTAAAATACTGTGTTCAATTTCTATAACTCTGCTGTTTCATTCATCAAAGAAGAAGTATATATATGATTTATGCTCGCACACAACGTCGTCGTTTATAAACCTATCATATTCCTTTATATGACACTTTGTTCATGTTTCAGGTGCTCTATCCCACACAGAGCAGCTGACACGACTGGGAAAGCTCGTGTCATACTTAAATATGTCGCCGCGTTTGGCTCGCGCTGTGATACATTCCGCTGTGATTGGCAACGTGGTGGCTGTCGGGAATATGGCAGCGCACTGCTCTGATAACGTCGAGGTTTTCGCTAACGCCGCTGATAGGAAGGCAGGTAGTTATCTAATCTATACTAATATAAAAAAGTTTGTTTGTTTGAATGCGCTTATCTCGGTAACTGCTGGTGCTAATTGAGCATTTATGAGAAGGTTATAGGTTATAAAACATAATAGTGACTAATAGGAGTGAAGAAACAACGGGAAATGTGGAGAAAACGGGGAAAATTAATCACCTTTGTACGTTTCCTCTGCGTACGCTGCGAAAACGGTTCAAGTTTCAATAATTTATGAAAAAAATTATTAAGTTACTACTTGTTAAGCACTTGTTTTCTTACTACAAGTGTTAAATACGTTTACAATGTTAATTCGATACCTTTTTTCAGAAATACGTGGCATAAAACGAAAATTCAGTACAACGTCGGACCACGCTGCATTACATAGCATACAGGATGTGTATGAAGAGAAGTTAGAGGAAGTGGGGTGGAAGGAGGTCGATGGATGGTGCAATATATACGGTCTGAGGAAGGATCGTCTATCTTTTGTCAAATGTAAGTATGTATTTAATAGGTTTAACGGTTTCGAACGCGAAATATATTATTCTATACTAATATTGTAGAGAAGGAGAGTTTGTTTGTTAATCTCAGGATTTGGGTCGAATTGAAAAATATATAAAGACTATCAAACATGAGGGTGCAACAAATAGTGGGAATATGTGTGGTAGTAAAATCGTTGCGTGCGGTGCGAGAACGGTTTAAGTTGTTATAAAAATATGTATAAAATAATTTAAAAAATGTCTACAACACTATATGTCTATCCTTAAAGATCAACTCATAATTAAGAATCATTTTTATGGTAACCAAATTTGGTCCAGACTTCATATGGCAAAAAAAAATTGCCAGGTCAGCTAGTTAACTTATATTTTTCGTGTTTTAAACCGTTAAAAGTGTTGTATTTGAATGTTTACTACTTGCGTAAACACAATGCCTACATCTAAGTGTGTGGCTAAGTCAAAACCGAGCCAAATTCGAGTCTCATTTCCGCACGAACGGTTTTCAGGATCGTTATCCGTTACCGTTACTGTTATACAACAAAAAAATGTTTAATTAATATGGGGCTACGTTCTCAATTGTAATTTCCTTAAATTCTGTTTCCAGCGCTATCTAATCTACATCTAGGACAACTATTGAAATGCGGAATCATAGAGAAGAATCCTGATGTGCAAGAGTTGAATTGGTCGTCAAATATAGATGAGTTCACATCCGCCATTTTGTTATCCGGTTCGAATAAATTGCTACTTACAAAGAAACAAGTGAAGACAAAAGGGAAGCTGAAGACGGCTGTAGATTTGTATACTAGGTGAGATTCTGAATAGTTAAACACTGTAGTTTACGCAAGTAAGATATTTTTAAATAAAACACTTTAACGGGATAAAATCTTTTGTGATAATCGGCCAACCAACTTTTTACAGAATTTTACTATAGCAGTATAATTATTTGACAACTTGTGATAGAATTTTGTTTATTTCCCAACCTAACCTAATCGCCTGAATAATTTTCAGCGACAGGGCAGAGATCTGCGAAATATATTAGTTAAACTTATTTAAACATTATTTTAACTACGGCGCCATGGTTCCCGAATAAAATAATTATTGAATAAGTTTAACTAATATATTTCGCATTTTAAACCATTTAGTGTTTTTGATTTTCTTGATTTCTTCTTCCTATCATATATCTAAGGCCCGCTGTTTTTGTTATGGTACCCGCCTCGAACCCAAGACCTTTCTAGTTTAAAGGCTATTTTTGTAGCTAAACTACATTGAAAGTTTTTTTTCTAGTTCTCGTGAACGTGCACACATTGGCGGCGAAAGTGTCAACTACGGAATAACGAAACGGAAGCATAACGCATACCTGCTTACGTACTTTGGCGGGTACCACTCGGCCGAGAGACGAGCGTTGGTCGTACAAAAGACATCGTTGATATCGCCTCATACTGTGCTCCTGTTCTCTATGGGAGATGTTATAAAGGTGAGATGTAAATAAAATTACTCCCAGGTATTTTTGAACTGACTTGTTTTCGAATTTTCGACCGAGGTTTTTAAGTGTTGCAAGCTTATAAATACTTAGTGTGGTGGATTAAAAAATTAATTTTCTTATTCGGTAAAAAAATGATATTCCAAACTTAGTTTTCTATGTAACACAGGCCTTGAATTTTTGAAGTAAAAAATGATTCTTAGAAAAAAAACTATTACAAAGTATCTTGAATTAAAAATGTACTTTTATCATATATTGTGTATGTAGTAAGTACTTTATACATTAGTATTAATAATAATAAAGATATTTTTCGTTTCAGAGGGATAAAAATGAAGGGATCACTGACTTATTTTTGCCGAGACATAAGCTTACTCTTCAAGTACCGACAGCGTGAGTTTGAGCAAACTTCATAAACAAACTATATGATGTAACATTTATAATCTTTTAAATCTATTGTTTCTTTCACACAATTAATTACAAAGAAAAGCGACAAGAAATGACCACTGCTTGTCAATTGTTTTTCGATTCGTTTCGTTGTATGTTGACCTAGGACATGTAATTTAAATTCTTTTTTTGTTTCAGACAAGCTGAATATATTTTGAAAGCACGTGAGATGCTATGGAATACTCTTCAGTATTATATAGAGAGGAACGTAAACAGCATATCCTTTGATGAGTTCGAGCGAACCGCCAAATTCAAGAATAGACTAGTTAAAGCAGTCGGTAGAATACTAGTTGAAGCGAATACTGATTATGTAGAGAAATATATCAATAAAGATACTGATTTTAGGTAATAAATTATTATCGATGCACGTATTTTTTTATTTACAATAAAACACTAGCTGTTACCCACGACGTCGTCCGCGTCTCTTGTTCTTGCGAGTTAAGCTTAAAAGATAGACATATAGCGCCGCGGACATTTTTTTGAACATTTAAAGAGGAATAATAATTCCCTCGTGCATATTTTTTTAAACAGCCTAAGCTATAAAACTGAGGAGGTTGTTTGTAAAATAAATAGATGCCCAAAATAATTGATCAACGCAGCTAAAGTCGCGGGTACAGCTAGTATTAGCTACAAGTACCCTTATCTATGATCTCCATTCAATATTAAATAAATTATTTACACTAAACCTTTGTAAATCAATAAATATTTATAGCAAATATGCTAAAAGAAATCTTATTATTTGGGGTCTATGAAAAAATGTTGAACGCGTTTAACAAGAAAAGTTGTTTGACAAGTTTTCATTGAATGAAACTAAATAATTCGTATTAAGTCTTTATCACAACAATCTCAATTCCTGCTAATACCACTGTTAAAAGGAAATAAATAATTATTACTTTTTCCTTACTTATTTTTCTTTGTTAAGGTTTTCTTGTTTTTAAACCTCCTTGTGTCAGTCTTCTGTCTATTCTCGAACAAGATCCATCATCGTTTTTGGTCATTCTATCTCTTCTATTCTCTGAGTACCCCGCTCGGCCTAGAATAAACGCCGTTCAAAACGATCGTTTGAGTTGTTTTCTCAATAACTAGATACACGAACGGTCTATTCGCTGTGAATTTTGCATCGTAATCCGTCGCAGTACGTGTGTCGTCTTCGCTCGATTCGGAGATTTCGAAAACAACTTTATGGACAAATTTCGATATACAGAACTCTGGCGCGATATTATCAAAGCTAGCGTATTCCTTCTCGAATATATCTACTCCCATTAGATTCAACGGTTCGTTCAATATTAGATTAGTGCTTATTTTGAACCTCGGTAATTCTACTTCCACCACTTTTCTTTCCACCAGACTATTAAGAATATCATCTAAACTAATTAACTCGAAGCGATGGTACACGTCATTCAGTGTTGTGCCAATATGGGGCAGTATTAAAACCAGGGAATATTTGGCGTTATAGGGCATTTCCAGTACCTGACTCCGAATACTTTCCAGGTTGGAGTAAAGGAATTTTCCGATTTGCCGCATCATAAACACGGCGTTAACACCGTTCTTATCGTCGTAGAAAGCCGCCAGTTTCGTATTTTTGCTACTGAACGACGCTCTCAATGACCCTCTAAACTTAATAACGCACGTTAAAATCACTGTTGTATTATCAAAGTCACTGGGTATCAAGACATTCGATACTTTCACACCTGAATCGATTAATAATCGATTCGCGACTAGCGCGGCCGAATTCGATTGCTTGAAGTCGAGTTGAATCGGCATTGAGCCGAAATACTCAGATATCATTTCGTATTTCTTAGATATATTAACTCTCATATCGTAGAACATGAAGCTTCGTTTATGTATTATCGGATGGAGAACCGCGGTTGTTAAGTTATGGTAGGCATTGACTACTTTCGTGTTATTCTTCGGCAGGCGTAGAGCGTGATCTAGTTGGTTTCTGCTTTCCTTTGTAGCTCCTAGAGCCAATACAACCATCTGGCTCCATACTCCAAAAGGCGATATCACCGTGTTGTCTCTTGTATCCTGGTGAGCGAAGTATAATAACTCCAGACCGAAGTTATTCACTTTTACACTTAAGTCCTGAGCGTGAACGAACGCGATAAGACACACCACTGCCGCGCCTGTCTTCATAATGTTCGTTTCAGACGGTACCGCTTACTATAGCTGCAAAAACTGGTTTGTCGGTGGTCTATTGGAGTATAAATATTATTTTATTTAGCGTCACACGAACGGAAATACCAGTGTATTAATCACAAAGTACGTGTATGATTAAATTCTGTCTGTTACCTACATTTTCAAGGCCGTTTTCCTGAACTGGTTTTGAAGAGACGTAATCGACAAGTCTAAACGACATTTTGATTATTGATTTTTAATTCGATATCTTTATATTATTGCTATATGCATCCAAAACAAGTTGTAACATGTCTAGTAAAACTAGCAAAAAAAATTATTTGCCAGGAAAGTTTAGAGTAATTATAATTGATCAATTACAAAAATGTAAATGCTTCACGAACATGTTGTATCCCAAAAAACGTGTGAATGCAAGCCGGTTCAAAAAGATGGTTAAAATCACTGTTTTGTTTACTCCAATGTCGCGGTCACGCTAGCAAGATAAAGCTGTGGTCTCATTATCGTGTTTGATTGCTTGTTTATTATATAAAATACAGATTTATTCTAACAATTATTGCTTGAGAACAGCTGGACTAAATTACATGACATTTACGTTTGTGTCCGTCTCTAAAATTATCATAAGTTGAAAGAAGCCTTGGAAAATCGACGAAAAGTATTTTTTACTACTTAATTATTTAAATAAACGTTCAATTGATAGCTTATATTTACAGAAATAGTTTATAAAGTGGCTCTTTTTGTTCTGAAGTGGAAGACTCAATCAAGGTCTCTGCATCAGGGGAATAAGTATTTTGAAAAAACTTCACAGACCGTTAAACCCCCGGGATAGAAACCCAGGACCTCTCAACGTATTGTTAGGCAACGCGATTATTCATTGAACTGGAGTCAGTTGTATCATATTCTGAGGTTAGTGGGTAATTCTATAGTAATACTTAGTAATTACCACGATAATCGAATTTAATGATTCATGTTAGTAAACTTGGACGCAAGTGTAACTAAACCCTTACTCTGATGTCATAACGTGGGAAGTTGATAATTATAACACACAATAATGTTAACGCAGCAAAATTGCCTAAAGGTATAATCATTGAAGTATTGTTGTATGATCTTACCTAAATACCATGGATTTTGTGATGAGTGACCATCTACCACCACCTGCCACCATCGCTATTGGTGACCTGACGAGTACTTATCAACATCAGGTGTACTAAGCCACTGGTACAAATATTGTAGAGCGTTTAAAAACCATTTTTTAATGTTAATAACAATATACTCTTATTAGTTATTTTGCCGCGGATACTGTGTTTTCTATACTTCACGTTCCACCTTCCACCCAGGGCCAAATTTAGAGGTGTGGAGGCCACAAAGCAAGAGGGCGCCCGACCCCAAAATAATTATTAAATAAAGACCAATTTTTCGTACATTTTTAAATAAACAATTTATTGTGAAACTAAGTAAATTTTAGTATAAGTAGTCGTACACGAATAAACAAAACTATGCCTAGACTAGACTAGACGATGCGTTATTTTTCTTAAAAATCTCAGACATAGACAACTCTAAGATGTTTATATAATTTGTAAATGATTTTTATGTTCATTGTAAAATTAATTAGCTAAGATTGTAACCATGACTAATTGTGGTTTTATGTTCATAATTTATTAATATACATACATATAAATTGACAATTATGTAGTGTAAACGATTAGCGAATTATATACAGTTATATATTTCTCAAAAAAAACCTTCAGTATCATGATTTGTTAAATTCTTTGATTAGAATTTATTAAGACTGATTCTGTAGTGCTATTATTTCATTTTTATGAAACAGAGGAAAATATAAACATAGCTTAATTTAACAAAAGACGTTGCCGACGTGTATTCGCTTTGAAAATTCCGAAATTCAGACTGAAAACGCAAAGCGAAGTTACATTTTTAGGCTTTTCTATCTATGGGAGCTCGAGACCAGGTCAGAATGTCGGTATTACCTGTCCCAGATATTCCAGTTAATTTGTGGGGTGTGGGACGAACACAGTTCAGTATCCATTTTATTTACGAGTAATTCATCAGTGGAGGAGCGAATCCACGACCCGTTACTTATCAGCAATACATTCCTACAAAACCAACAAGCCTATCAAGTGTAAAGGCAAATGCAATTTTTCATGCCTAACTACTGATATTGAAAGAGGTTATTTATGGATTCACTACAGAACGCTTGGCACAACAAATTCAATGTCACACCGGCTGTGACTGAGGTATTAATTTGTACTAATCATGGTCGTACATATTCCTAGTTGTTACTTAATCAATTAAGCGTTTATTTATCGAAAATGAAATACTATTTGAACATTTGACGTCGAAAACTAAAAGTGTTCTGCGTATAATTAAATGAAACAGTTTTAAAACGCGAAATATATTATTTAAACCGTAGTCACGGCTGCTGCAAAGCATTTTCAACGTTGGGTCGTTGTATAACTAATTTATTTCGTGTTTTTAAACTTATAAAGTGTTTGATAAATGTGTACTATTCGTTAACAACAGACAGTATTTTGTTATGTGTATAGATAAAATTTTCTTTCGACGTCTCGTTAATTCAATGGTAGCAATGTATCGCTAAGACAACTGGTCGTGGGTTCGATTCCCCTGGGTTTAAAATATATAAAAAAAAATCTTTTTGTTCTATACTGGACTTCGTCTGAAAAAAATAGGTATTAAATCGGTGGTAGGATAATCCAAGTTCTGCTCGTGTCATAAAACCTCCGTCCACAGACGAAAAAGACCGTCTCTATGATATAAGTATAAATGAACATCAAGATATAAGGGCCGATTAACAAAATTATGTGCCTAACTCCTAAGTATTGGATACCATACTCTGTTCATCTACTGCTAATCTCACGATGAGTCCAAGAGATGTGGTTTGTCTATCTTTCTCTATCACAGAGAGAATCTAGAATTGTAGAGTGGATGTTAATTAACCGAGATTAATATCTTTACCTATGCCTTAAGGCATATTAATGTAACTGCATGCATAGAAATGAAATATATTAAGTACACGTAAACTACAGTTTTTTAACGGTTTAAAATGCATAAGATATTAGTTAACTTATTTTTAAATCACGGCCTGACGACAATTGCTGTAAAGCACCCGAAATGCAATTAAATTAAGAAAAACTTATTTTCGCATTCTAAAGAATTAAATGTTTTTTATGTATTTCAATGACAATGTGATTTATCTATTACAATTAAAAATAAATACTTAAATAATCGTATCTCTCAAATCCGATTGGGTTTAATGGAGAATTTAGTACTTTGAACACAATATACAATAAAAAAGGAAACAGAGAATATTTTCAAATAACCTATTTAATAATCAGTCGTAATAAAAGAAAAAAATAATAGTGTACCTTAGTACCACAAATAAAAAAATAAAAAATCATTACATAATTACACTGGTTATCAATACATAGATCCTTTTTCACTTCGTACTAAGATACACTACTTGATTTTACTATGTCCAGTTATCACACGAGAGCTGGCACCGCATATACACCAGAGAACAATATAAGACCCGACGACCGATCCGTGATGACGAAAACGAACTCTTTGTTGGCTTCGAATCGTTGACTAAGGATTCGATCTTCTAGACCCACAACAGTTGAAGACGCCGCCACGGTTCCTTCTTCTGTAACTTCTAATTCTACGCTCTGTATAGTCTTGGACACGAATAATGGACTATCGGACACACCAGGTAATTGCGCCTTTTCCACATCGAATATGCTCAGTATCCCGGTATACTGCAATGGCGGTATCAAATCGGCTTGCGTGGATATTTTAAACCTTGGTACGAAACAATCTATTTCAGGCAGACCACCAGATTTGAACTCTGTCATCCAATCCAGGGGTTGGTTGGCTAAATTATTTAACAGCCTCTTAAGCGGCATTCCGTCAAATGGAAGGAGTATCATCATGGCATACTGTTCAGTTTTTCCATAAGTCATTTCAAGTATTTGTGCACCTATCGAGTTGGCATCTCCAAAGTTATGCGGTGCCTTGTGGTACATCATGTTGACGGTACCTATTGGCTTTCCTTGTGAATTATAAAACGCTTCCTCCTTCGTTTGTGTTGGATCAAATGGATACGTCCAGCTCGCTTTAAAGTATAGAGCATCTATCAGTATCATCCGGAGATTATCCAAATCTTTAGGTTGCACTGCATTGCGGATCTTGCCTTCTGTTGCGACACAGATGTAGTAGTTTATATCTTGTGCGAGGAAAGTGGTGTTTTTCGGATCGACGGAGTAAACATCGTTCTTATAATAATTAGCTGAGTCGCAGAACTCTTGGTGTATCTTGATGTTGAAGTCTGAGAACATAGCCGATTGTCCTTTGAGGGTGACATCTTTATCTGAGTACTTCAAAAGGTTGACGACAGCTGAATGCAGCGCCTGAGTCGATCTCAAGTCGTTTGGCAATCGTAGTTCCCTCATTAACTCCAGAAAGGTTTCGCCAGCGGATCCTTCGGCTAATAAGGAGAATATGCTCCATACGGACAGTGGTGATATAGCGACGTTCTGCTCACCGAATGATTCCTGGAACGCGTAGACATTGTCCAATAGTTTGAGGGCGAATTGATTGATAGGTGCGAAGTCAACACCAGGGTTGGTCGGAGTCGCGACCACGATGCTAACTAAGAACACTATCTTCCACATCGCACACGACTTGATAGCACAGAGTTGTAAGCAGTACTACTATATCAAACGGCAACTTTATCAATTTCAATGGGATCTCACGTATACAATGAAATTTGCGGCGTTTGAGTGTGCGTGTTGTTTATATGGGAACCCATAGCGTAATCAATTGGACGCGATATTCAATAAACCAATTAAAAAGTTCCAATCGGTTTTGAAGTCACGTTTGAAGTTCATAGCTTTAAATATATTCCTAATAATAAACATAATAATTTGAGATATAAAAACAGTCATTAATCATCAGTTAATTGGCTGCCTAGGATACCTTGAATTTTCAGAAGGACTGAGATTTTGTTTTTGTCCGCCTTTGTATGTCAAAGCGGTCAAGATAATATATCAACTGTGCTATTCGTTATCGAAGAAACCTTCAATTCATTTATTTATGACACACATTAAAAATAAGAACCTACTGCAAGGTATTTACTTAGGTACTTCCGTATTTAGGAATAGATTCATTGTTTTCGTACTAAGCTAAAAAGTTTCTGCATTAATACATCAAAATAACGAAGAAATTATATTTAAAACATAACATACGAGTTCTGTAGACTATAATCAAATTATCCTAATCGAAATAATAACTACAAGCAATAGATTTTGCATATAGAGACTTTGATAGCGAAAAAAGGTTTTTTTTTTCATTTCTACATAAAATAGCGTGTAGGTAATAGTTAATTCATTCCTTTAATTCAAAATGCGTAATGGAATAACTTAGTTACGTGAGAAACGATGTATTATTACTAATTAACGTGGTATGTATGTAGAGTTTCCTCAAGATTTTGTCTATCTTTGTAATCGCATTTAATATCTAGTCTTTATACCCAGGTTAAGTTTGTATATTCACTATCCTTTTAATATTTATTATTATAAATAAGTTACTGTGGTTATTATAAACCTTACCACGTGTATTTTTTTATTATTACCGATTTCATATATATTTTTTTAAAGATAATAACATATGACAAATTGGCGCTAAGTTTGCTATCCTGCTACATATAAAATGTTTCATAGACAATGTATGTTTGTTAGTTATAATTAAATAAAATGTGATCATTTGTACTTTCCTTACTTATTGGGAAAAAATAGTAAAATTTCTCTCACTATAAACCAAGATAAAACAACGTTCGAAATAATCCTCTTTTCATTATTCAATACACTGGAATATGCCAAACAAACGTAAGATAGCCCTCAAGATAATGCAATTTATATTATAAAGCCTATAACGAGAACTTAAGGGGTTATACACACGAGCGATTATGAAACAACACCGTCTGAAGTGTGAATATGTATGACGTTTTTATTTTTCCATTGTTTATATAGATAATTATGTGGTAACACAATTATCTAATATTTTATTATTATTATTCCTATATACAATTTAAATTGTATTCAATTCAATTGTTTTGATTAGGCTGTGCAGAGAAGTTGATCAACGACTTACCCAACACACAAATATGTTTGTTCAATGCTGTCTGTGGACTTCTCCTTGTGAGGTGAGACGGGATTTCGCAAATTTTATAATCGACCTTATATCATGTCATAATATTAAACTCAAATTAGTAAACGCTGGAAAAACGCCGCGTTAAAACGATCGGGTGTATTTTTAATATTACGCAATTGCCTTGTATTGTCCATAGGAGGTCATTCCATACAATCCTCACTTGTTCCGGTCCGCCTATTTCTATGTACGGAACTCTGACATTATGTAGCGTAAGATTTTGTTTTGTCTTACATTAATACCTTCAAACACCTGGAAAGTTCTATAGAATGATAACTATAAGATGGATTCTACACTAAAGAATCTCAATAACTCAATAGATAGAGCTTCGTTGCGGGTTTGAATATCTTTGTTAAAATGTTATTCCAAATTATTTATCATATTAAGCAAAGGCGACTAGGATAATTATTGTATTAAATTCGCTTCTTTGCTTGTACATAAGCCTTTTTATTATTCAAACAAAATTGGCTTAATGATCTTTTAATAGTTTATTTGAATTCGTAAATTTTTAAATGCAAGAATTTGTCCCGAATTATAGTAAACATAGTTATCGATTTGTTATACGTAATGGCGACATTAGACAAACAAAAATAATATCAAGTCAGTTTTCCAGACTTTGATATACGTTTTCTAAGAGGACAGAGTAAATCAACCGGTTATCTACGTTAATATTTATATTATCTATCTATAGTATTATTATATATTTAGTATATTTAGGTGAATTGATGTTTATTATTATATTATTATTTTCTATCGGTGTCACCTGTAAAAGGCCGGGTGATCACACTATTTTACCCATTTCCCTATTTTTATATTTAGTTTTCTACTATTGGGTATTAAGAGTCACTAATTATTATATCGCTTTCTATAAACTTTCACATTTGTATTCTCTTTTAAAAGAACTTGCGTTAAAATTTATATAGATTTAATATGCCTCAGCCAGGTATCAAGTACAAATAGGAATGTGTTTTCCTTGTTTGTAGACAATTCTGTAAAGAAAAAATTCCATACTGGTCAAGCTAAATAAAACCGTTTAATAAATATGAAAATACTTCTCGTCTTCATTCTTAATTCGTATTTTTATATATTACAGATAATAAATTATATTATTGACTCGAAAAATATAGTCTATGTTACAGTTTAAAAATAACGTTGAGGTTTTTATGAATTAAAAACTAGTAACACTAGGTTTGGTAGTTCGGTGTTATTTTGTTCTTTGTCAACGGACAACCAAATTTTAGTAACAGGGACATTTGTCTCTACGTAGCTTAGTATTTTCGATTTCGTATTTTGTCTGTAGATATATATATAAATAAAACATTTTTAACGGTTCAAAACAAGAAACGTATTAGTTACTAATTTAGAATTTATTTTAACTGCGGCCCAAATGTTTGGGATGCTTCGCAGTGGCCTTAGTTATGGCGGGACCACTGCAGTTGTATTATATTTTGTTGCTTCTGAACTAACGTACCGTCTTTCATTTTTCGTTTTGTACTTATTTATTTTGTATAGTATAGCTTTCGTTGGACATTACCTCATCTAATTAATGCAACAATGCCTTGTGTAAATAGAAAATTTTTCCACGTCACATTTGCATGTGTTATTAGTTATGCGGGTAAAGATAAACCGTGAACGATTTATCAATTCTGTTGCTATCTGGACAGCTTACGGTTCATTGGCCTTTTAAAGGCTTTGGGGATCACCCGGTTTTGCCACAATTTAAAGTAATACATTTTGTTTTACACTTTCAAACAAATCTTCTCAAAATTTAAACTAATTTCACACACAGGATTTTTCATATATTACTAAAATACATTAGATATTGATTGTTTTTAGGGGTTGTATATAAAATGGTGACTTAAAATAGTATTGCTATTAACGCCCTCTTGCGATTAAAAATGGTAGGAAGCGCTATCTAGCGTAACGTTTTAATATTACAAGATCACTTATTATGTTCAAGAGATGTCACTCTAATCCATACTTGTAATATTGAGTAAATAAAAAATTATAGAACTAAACCTTAGTAATTTTAAGGAAGTCAAGGTAAAAAAAACTAACGCCTTAAATTAGCGGGAATTTCACTTTTTCTTAAGAAATTTTCTAGTACCAGCTCGTATTGGAAAGTAGGTAGTGTTATCAATTTAGTGGCGGTACTTGTTATAACTACACCGCTGTAGTCAGGCTGAGTGGCCTAAGAACAAAACATCTAAATTTCAATAAGGAGAAAAATAAAAATGCACAGTTAACTGAGACGACAATAAATTTGTATAATTATTTGTGTAAGAATTTTCCGATCACTGTGCTCTTGTAGATTAACGTTTTTAGACTATGACAATATAAATAACACAAATCACAAAATTGAAATTAGGCTACTCTGCCTTTAGAGGCGTCATATATATGAGCTGTGGAAATAAAAGTATTGAATCGAAACACAAACATTAAAATACAAAGTACATAAGTAGGTTTTGCATATTAACTTAAGATTAAGGAATACTTCAAATAATATGAAGCTTTTAGTCACTTAAAATTACGTTTTGGTATTCTTTAAATTCCCGCGGAGCGGCTCAAAAGAAAAACAATAAATAAACTTAATTACCATAATTATATTGGTTTTGCGTGGGAACTGGGCAGTTGTTCTGAAACACCTTTGAGATACAAATGTACTGTTATCATAAGACCTTGCTAAATAAACCCGAGTTGAATCGCTTTGGGTTAAATACAGAATTTCAGGTTGCTATAGCAACGGGAGGTAATTTCTAGAATGTAAGAGAGGAAATTTTCATAATGTAATATTCATGAAATAGATAGACATTTTATATTTCCAGAGCGCATAAGAGAGACTGTAAATACAGTTGGGTATCTAAAGACAAGAAAGGTCGACAACGCACCTTGTTTATTTAATTTTAAAGATCAGGAAGACAAACAATAAGTGGGTCTCATTGCTTGTCTGTGCTTCTCTATTATAAAAATATTAAAAGTGTAGGTATATAGTAAATATAAATTAGGGTCTTCAGACTTAATTACTTTACACATTTTAATTAAAAAAAAAAAAAAAAAAAAAAAAAAAAAAAAAAAAACCCCCCGGGGGGGGGGGGAAAAAAAAAAAAAAAAAAAAAAAAAAAAAGGGGTCCCCCCCCCCAAAAAAAAATAAAACAAATTTTCGGCGGTAATGTATAATGCGCCCCATTTTGGCTGTTGATACTTCGAAATCCACAGATTATCTTCATGTACAGTATGTAATCCTAAATACACTTAAATAAACACAAACAAAGTGCCACAAACTACGCAGTTAATAATAAAATAACGCAAAACCATTCCGCTAAAACAACGTTACGGCGGGCGTTAGGCGGTGAAACGGAACTCCGCTACAATTAATTATGCCGCCATTACAGGCTGCTTCATTAAATAGTAACGCGATACAAGCCATTTGTTTTCACCTAATCGCATCTATTGTTTTTGTTTATCA